GAGTAGTAGGGGAATTGGCATCTTGTGGCGAAATGAGCGACGCAACCACCAACGAACGCAAGTCCCGCAACGCGTTGAGCTTTACGAAGGGATTTCCATGACGTGAAAACACTTCGATCAGCCGATAGAAGACCGCCTTGTATGAAAATGCCGACTGCTCCTCCGATTCCAAAGATGCTTGCGGTAGCTGTGACGAGGCCTCCACACGAGGAGCTTTGTGTTGGGATACGCGCAGGTTGCCCAGAGACCTGCTCCGGCGACCTTTCAATGACCCACGTTGCTGACCAAGATGCTTGGAGCGCTCTTCATAATCGGCGTAGAATTTCTGGACAGCAGCTCGTCGGCGCATTTCCACCTGAATGCGTTTCTGGTCCAGCGCATTGGTGAACCAGGCGTCAGTTTCGCTACCGCAACTCCATACCGGAGAGCCCAAATCGCTCAGAAGCAGACTAGTCAGCGTCTGTCTCAAGCCATCCATGAACGCCGTCTTCCCGTGTGTTTTCCGTTCAACACGACGGGGCTGACGGTTTGCCGTCTCGCTGAACATAGATGGTGGTCGCGAATACACGCTCGACGCGCTTGCGGCATACGTAGCGTGCCGCTGGGGCACAGACCAGAATGTACTGTAGGTGTCACCGGTAGATGTTGAAGCAGCACGGCCAGGTGAACCTCCGAGAGAAGACATGTCAATTGAAGGCAAGTCACGCTGAGGCCTCCATTTATCGGAGATTATGCTTTGGATAGACGGCTTGCGACCCAAAGACGGTGTATCTTGAGGAAGACGAGACATAGGATCGGGCATTGGCATATTGGCACCGTAGAAATGGGAAGCAGAATTCGTCTCCTCACTTGTGGTCGTTGAGGGTCGAGGAGTGCTAGGCATGGACATTCCTGGGAATGTGCGAGGGCCGTAATCCTCAAATCTTGAGCGTTCCCTCTGGAAAAGCTCACTCGCCCATAACACCGGTGTCTCGGCCATCGTTTCACCCACTAGTTTATTGATGCTCATTCGGACTTCGTAACAGAATCTATGGATTCTTTCTTCCCCCTTGCAGAAATTGTCGATTCCGTTGTGCGACAACCATTTCTGAGTCAGCTCGACTTGCTCGTCAGAGAGCTTATTCGGCCCACCCTGGCTACTAGGTGCCTTCATCATGTTCATGACCTGCACTTCGGGTTTCTGGAACAAGGAGCCACCCAAAGACTTTGCTCCGTAACGAGAACGCTGTTCTTCGGGGAACTGGTTGAAGAGTCGGGCTGAGTAGATCATCGTTTTCAAAGCCATGGCCACGTGTTTAGCCTCCTCATATCTGATGGAGTTCTTGACGTCGTTCATATACCACATCTTGTCCCGGATCTTGCAAAAGGTGGCCGTCATGTCTTTGAGTTGCGTTTGGAGTCGGTGGAGACTGTGATCGAGAGACACAAAGTCACTCTCGCAACGTTCAATGACAGCTCGTGATTGGATCAGCGAACGACTGTAATTCTCATGCATCGGGCCCAATATCCAGGAATCGTCTGTGGTCCTCGGTGAGCTAGGCGTTGCTCGTTGCCCGAGCTGCTGCGAAGCATTCCACCAGTAGTGCGCACCAACAAAATCGGAGTCATGATGGCAGCAGAAAATCGCTTCGTTGAACCGCTGCTTCAATGACATGGTGGCTGGCTGGGAAGTATTCTGTGAAAGGAATCCATAGTCACCCGCGTCTTGAATGCGGTTCTCGTTGACAAGTCGAACGATCGCCGTCTGTAATGCTTCATGATTTTCCTCCAGTCCTAGCGTCGTGGAACGCGCGTCATCGTCACTTTCAACTATCGGGACTTTGGAGGTTTCATATCTGCTATCAGAAAGGAGGCTCCAAGTTAAGCCACGGCCGTCTGCTGCGACTGAGAATATCGTCCAATGCTCGTCTGAGGGATGCTCTAAGCTCAACCGCTCATTGGGATGGTCTAAATCAGTTAGCTCGAATCGAATGCGAGCGGCCTTTTCAGACAGGCTATTTTCCGGTGCTAAAATAGAATGAGTCTCCACTGAGAATATGGAACCGTTATGCGACGTAGATTTTGGGCTTGTGTCGTGCTTGAAACGAGCGAATCCAGGATCCGTAAGTGAGTCTGGCCGAACGCTGGCAAATGGCGGCGGGCTGGATGGCCAAGAATGAACTCCAGCAGACGCTGGCGAGGAATGTAAAGAAGAGGGAGTCTGTTGGAAGAGAGTGTCTAGGAGTGTGAGAACATCCAAAGCAGACATCATGAGGAAAGTCGAAGAAGACCTTCGTCGATGAGGAAGTGGTCCCTGTGAAGGAGGAACAGAATGGTCACTCGATACCTCCGGCGGCATCGTGTCATGGAACCGAGAGAGCATGTCTTCGACACGGCCCTTGATTATCGGACGAGGGATTGAGAAATGATGCCTTGAAGAGATCAGCAACAGTGTCGAAATCTGCAGAGAGTTCAAGCTAGGATGACGTACATTGAACGCAAAACAGCAAAGACTTGAGCGTAGGCACGGTGCCCAACCTGGTTCAACAATTTCTCGCGGGCATCTTTTCTGATATGGAAGTCTAGTAGAAGACCATGGGTCTGCAGCAATAGCAGATTGGAGTCAGCTTCGCAAGTTCACCAAGGGCCAGAGGCTTATATACCTCAGGGTATGTCAATGCGCGATACAGGAACTTTGAAAAGAACCACTGGAGGAATAGAAACTCCAAGAAGCGACTGCGGGTCTCGGGATTATCCAGCTTCCGCAAAACGGCCTTTGCAAACTGTAGCACGGCGTGAGGAAAGCCGCCGTCCGGATCATCGAGTACACGGAACAAGTCATCAACGGCAGAAGCAAAGAATTCTTCCGCAACATCCGTTCGCAGGGGGTCTAGGGAATCCATGGCAAAATCCAGCCCGGGTGGTGTGGCTATAGGCTCTAGGAGAAATGCACCGGTTTGTAAAATGTCCATTAGGTAGAGTTCAAATTTGGGGCGGGCTTTCCAAGTGCTGCCGGTGGTCCAGGAAGAAAGGATCTGGCCGATAAGAGGATAGTATCTACTACTTCCGTTGGAGATTAGTTGAGCGCAGACGGACGACCACACTTCCATACGCAAGCGGGATTCAGGCGTCTCTGGGTCCAATGGAGCGGCAAAAACGTTAAAAAGAAGTATAGATAGTGGGTCAGTCCTCTCAAAGGCATATGCGTGGTCCTTGAAGGCAGCGGACTGAGTCTGGCTCCTGCTTAAGAAAGTCTGGGCCCGAGCCCGGGAAGTAGAAGGGAACGCGGGATCATTGGCATCCAAAGCCGTGGCGGGAGAGGTAAAAGCAGCCAATTGGGACGAAGAGAGGCTTAGTAACCTGTCAAGCAAAAACTGGGGATCAGAGCGGACCAGCCGCAAAATCTCCAGAAGGTCCGTCCGGGACTGGGGGCTCAGCTGATGAAGGAAATCCGGGAGACGGCCAATATCAGTTCCCAAGGATGGCTCCCCGTCCACAGAGTCTGTCTGGCCATCGTTGGGAGCAGGCGAAGAGCATGATTCCTGGAGGTCTTGGAGTGTATGGTAGAGAGCAACAAAACTGGCCTTGTCATCATGGCGGAGAGCTTCAACGAGACCTCGCTGGGCAGTCAGCCCAACACGAATCGTACGCGCAGAGACGCCAATGGACACCTTGGTGGCACGCAGGCGCTTCTCCAGTCGCTTCCTTTGGGCCTGCTTGCGCTGGTTCTGATGATAACGAGTGGCAAAATCCTCGAATGAAATTTGGGGTGCATCTTCCACTGGTACAGGTATGATAGAATGCGGCCCGGCATTGTGACCATTGGAAGGAGCCTCTACCATGGGACTGGCACGGCCCGAGCCCAACTCACCTGGCTCCACGTTCGGAGATTCGAGTGCGGACATAGCTGGCGATTCCGGAGGTGAAGGGGGCAAAGGCACAGATGCAGGATCTTGCGCCCGATGCGACAAGTCAGACAAGTCACATGGTGTATTAACCTTGGGGAAAGCAGGTATTTGCTCGGCTGGAGCTAGTCAGATTGGGCTGCAATCGTAAGGGGATATAACGATAGGAACACCCCCCTCTTTCAACGTCCGACCCCATCTAAGGGAGAAAAGCGCAAAAAAAAAATAAACACAATGACGTACTGGTTGTAGAATGCAAAGAGGACGAAGAATGATCCTCTTGGTGTTCTACCATCTTGCGATTAGCGACAGACAGTCGCGAACCCCCCCTGGACGAATCCCTATCGCATTCTGAAATAAAAACTAAGTTCTTAGAGTGACGATGCACTCGATCGGATGAGCAGTTGGCTTCCAGGATGAATGTGTGGGAAGAAAAGGCGGGGGAAGAGAAGGGAAATGGAGAAAAGGTTAAGGAGGGGAGATTTAAAATCAGAGTAAAAATAAATGAAACCCGGAGTATAAAACAAATATAAAAAAGGATTAGAAGAAAGGAATCCCTCGAAACGGACAGTTGCAGACTACAAGAGTGCTAAAAGCCAAGTAGAAAAGACTTGTAAGAAATACGGCTAATAGCGAAAAGGACCAGGTACCGAGTACAACGAAGACGATGCGTTGGCAGTGCAGGAATGAGGTGTCCATGCGCCCCTCATGCGCCGCCCCTCAGATTTTATAGACGTGTTCTCTCTCTTACGTATTATAATAAACTATTTTATACTAATTTTAATATGTACAACATAATATATATGGAGACGTGTTAAATCATTTTGGTCTAAGACCTGAGAAATGCCAGATGTCATGGAGAGTGGCAACATCCTCATATGCAAGGATATTATGGGTCATATACATCGTACTACGACACGCGCGCACAACCGGCATTTATTTCATGCAGCTAACCCGGGATACCCCGACTCTTAAATGAAAAAGGGAAAAAGGTAAAAAAGCAAAGATGCTTGATCACGATTAAGTGAATCGTTCATGATGGCTTTACAAATGCTTAGACACCCAACCTTGGAACTCCGTTCATAGATACTCGTGCAGGGAAAATACATCATGTTATCAGCGACAGACCCATTTCTTGTCAACTTCTTTTTGTCCGACACGAGCAGCAACCTGATCGAGGGTGGCTTTCAGTGTATCCTTGGACACCTTGGGGAATCTGGATATATCCGGATTAGCATACTGTTCTAACAGAAGACATCATGGGGACCAACCGTTTCTTCAAGATCTCGACCAACCCAATCTTACTGAGATCACTGCCTTCAACTGCTTCCTTGAATTCAACGAGTTGATCTGGCGGGAATGGCCGTTTCGCTTTCGATGTGGGAGGTAAAGCACTGCCCGTCGCCAGTGCTCCAGGGACTGCAGGAACAAGGAAGCCGTCTATGGCTGTCACAGGTCGCGCTTTCGCAGGTACTTGATCCACGGGCTTGGGCTTCTCCCAGTATGCGGTTGAGAAGGGGTCGATGGGGAACTTGACTGCATCAGATATAGTCTCCATCCGATAGACCTCCATTTCAGGGTCGACGCCATTGCCGGCCCACTTAATTCCAGTAGAGACCGGCTCTAAATCACCAACGATGAGACGGCGTTTACCCCCGGCAAGGACATCATCCTCGTCATCCAGGAAACCTTCGAGATCATCTTCGCCTTCATCACTGCCTTCATCTTCTTCTTCAGAGTCCAGCTCTTCTCCTTCCTCGGGTTCCTCCCATTCTGCCTCGGAATCATAATCGTAATCGGTATCCGGCAGCCCTCGGTGATAGGGATTCCGCGCAAGTCTTCTCGTGGATAACTCGGACACGGGACGGGTATAAGTTCCCTGATAGGGAGGGCGGATGTCCTCGCCAAACTTGAGAGATTTCATCGTGACTTTCCGTAGAAGTTCTTGTGGTCTCGGAGTTGGGATTACGCTCTGGTTTTGAGTAGGTTGACTTGGATCGTCAGATATTTGTAGTTGCAGCAGTATGTCCTTGACTGAGGTTGGCTGATGCCCGCGGCGGAAGGGAATTATCTGGAAGACTTCTGATGGACGGAATGGATATGTTTGGATGGGGGTTTCGTTGCGTAGACATGTATCGATTGTTTCGCGTACGTGCTTCAGGGCATCAGAGTCACGCTCAAACCGATGAGGAGGTGCCACACTTGTATGAGACTGCAAAAAGAAAGCAGGAAACTCTCGCTCATAGTCTGACTGCACGCCACGAGTTTCGCAAGAGGAATCGGCTGTAGTTGATGCCTTCTTAGGCGAAGGAGCGGTGATGACCTGCCCTGATGAAGCGGAAGATATCGGTGGTTTGGTAAAGAAGGAGTTCAGTTTCGTTTGCGACTGTATCGGTTAGTAGGCGTCCTCCTGTTAGGACAATTGTGGATGCACTTACTCTGGTCTTCTTCTCTTTCTCCTCATCCTTCTTACGTTTCTCTTCTTCCTTGGCGGCCTTTTCATCTTCCTTTGCTTTCTTCTTTTCATCGCGCTGCTTGCGCTCCTCCTCACGTTGGGCTTCTTTTTTGCGCTTCTCTTCCTCTCTGTGCCGTTTCTCTCCCTCACGCTCAGCGTCGCGCTTCTTCTTTTCCTCTGCCTTCACGCGCCTCTCTTCTTCTCTCTTGGCTTTCTCCTCCTCTTTCTTCGCCTTCTCTTCCTCCCTTTTCGCTTTCTCCTCGGCCTTCTGGCGCTCTTTGGCTTCCTTTTCTTTTTGCTTGGAATCTGTGCCAGCAGAGACTACCTTGCGCTTCTTAGGGGCCGGGGTATGAGGATCAGGGTTAGAAACGCCATTGGTGCCTGGGGATGTTGATCCCCCGGTACCAGCTTCATTTTCTTTGCGTGGTGTCCTTCTCATCACGATTTCGACCGAAGGGGGAGGTGGAAAATTATTTTTAATTTCAACTGGCGGGGAAGTAGTGTCGTCAGGTTGTGAGGGGAGAGATGGATCGCGATTTTCTTGGTTTTTGCCGACGAACTCAGTCAATGGTCGCTTCGCATTTGGCGAGGGTAGGTGGGTATCATCAACCTCATGAATTGAGCGTTTTCGGGGGCCGGATGAAGGTGATGCGGACAAGGCCGGAGCCGACTGCATCGGCGATAGAGGTGCGTTGGGTACCATTGACTCCAGGGTGATTGTAAAAAGCTGATCAAGAATCCGAAGTCCCAGGAGCGAGGGTGGGTGAGGGAAGGGGCGATGGGGACAGGCTGTCGTGTGATAGATCGCGACTTCACTTCATAGGTGGTTTAGGTCGTGTAAACCAAGGGAAAGTGCGACTTGGACAGAGGAATAATACACGTCACCCAAATTGACGATTAGTCTTCAATCACAGTGTATTGACCTCGCTGTTCAATGAGTGTACGGAGTAGAGCAGTGACAGTTGGGCCAACACTGGGACGCGTTAATCGTTTCGCGCTCGCGACCGATAAGCACACACGTGCTTATGTAAACACTATACGGACCCGTGGACTGCCCCAGTGCCCAAGGGACGTTCCTGAACGTGGGGTCTTCAGTAATTGTACAATTTATGGCATCATCTTGACTCCCAGGGTCAATATGGAATGAGCGTGATGTCGTGTACTTTAGTATTTTCAAGTTTCCCAAGTCCTTTTGTTACCGTCATAATTCATTTACCTTGCACTACCCTATACAACAGTAATGAGGCTACAACAAAAAGCCATATACCACTCCACGGAAGTTATCCTACATGCAACATGAATTGGATAATCTTTGGGTTGAAATTAGGTACGATATCTAAATTAAGAGAAGCTAGGCCATATAACCAACGCCAGGATGGCCCCGTATGCAGCCGCAGAAGGACGAAGGGAACACAGAGAGCCAATCTATAGAGACCAGCAGTGCCATCGAGGATATACAGCAAGAAAGAAGGATGTCTGGGGAAAAACAGAGATGGACCGCTTTAAATAAAAAGGAGTAAATCAAACAGCAAACGTGCAAAAATATAAACAAAGCAGGATGACGCATTGGTCTAAACCATCAAGATTTGCCAAATGCGGCCAGGTGTGGAGTTGCAACGAGATAGGTATTATGTGCAATTGACGAGGCGTTAAGAGAAATCACGTAGAAATCATGAAAGATAGAAGGTGGCGGGATATAAGGAAGAAGATGAAGGATACAAGAGTTGACAGACCCCGCATGAGAACAAGGGCCTCAGTCGCTGTCTGAATCGGGATTTGCGACGAAAAGTCGCACATTGGTCATGGTAGTAGTCCGCTCGTCTACACTGCCCCGTCGTCGCAACTCGGCTGCCCTTTGGGCTTTCTCGGCTGCTGCGGTGGCTGCGTTCGGAGCCTGCATCTCACCAACGAAGTCTTCTTGCTCTTGCTCGCTGCTGTGTGTTGTCGCGGCATCATCTTTGTGGAGTGATGGCAGTCGGCTCTTTTTCTCTTCGTGGATCTCTGCGGGTGTATTTTCCGACACTTCTGGAAGGTCGGTCTTCTCGTTGGGGGGCGTGCTGCTGCTGCCCATCGTTCCCTGTGGCCTCGAGTATCCACTTGGGTAACGGTGGGCACTTCCTAGAGAGCTGCGACCGCTGCCGGTCCGTCTGTGAATTGCACCACCATCACTGCTGAGAGTGTCATCATCCCCATCGCCGACTTCGTTCGCACTGAGTCGCACGGGGACCTTGGCGCCCACTAGGTTTGAGGGCGAGAACTCCATAGCTCCCTTAGGACCGTGTTTGATCTTGCCACTAGCCAAGGTTCCTGCCCGGCCAGACCCTGAGCCATGGACTTCAAGGTATGCTCTCTTCTTGTCCCTTAAGGCTTGTTCTCGCATTCTGGCGTCTTCAGGTTGTGCCCGGTCACACCACACTGTAGCTTTTTGTCGCCGCATGAGGGCCACATACCCAAGCTGAGAGTTGGCGGAGCGAGACGAAGCAGTTCGCCGGATGTCAGAAACACCTTGCCCCGCATGTACTGTAGGGTGGTTGCTGGTAGACGAGGTCGAAGTGGTGGTGCTAGACATGCGTCGAGATGGTTGACGGGGAAGCGTCATTTGGGGAATAGGAGGTGGAGGAGGAGCGCCGTGGTAGTGCTGAGAGCCGCCTGAGTAGGGTAGCACGTTGGAGGATGTGGTGCGAGTCCGGCTGTGCGAGGTCTGCGGGCTCGCTAGATTGGGCGCAAGTTGGGGTCGTGAAGAATCATAGGACTGATATCCACCATATCCGTGCTGGGCACCAGAGAGGGGCTTCCGGGCTGGAGGCCCTTGATGGAGGGGCATTCGAAAGTCTGTCATGTTGGGCGGAATGGTATACCAGCCTTAAAAATTCCCAACGTGCAGGTGCTCTAGGATATCGGTTTGCCCACGAATGCGCTGCGTGTTATTCCAGGATGTGGGATCCTGGTTTGTGGTGATGACTTAGAAGGCGGCGTTTCCGATGCGCGCGGCTGATGGATAGGGAGATAATGCGGTCTCAGCGCCCGCTGCAGTATGCAGGCGCCACAATCCCTTTTGGGAGGTCTTAAGCGGAAGGCTCAGAGTGTAGGCCTTAAGTACGCAGCGACACCAAGGTGTTGTAGACGTGCAATGGGCTGATCCTCGGGCTGATCCTCGGGGTAGTTTTGAGGCGAGGGTGACGGAGTAGGAGCACAAACGAAGTCCTGCAACTCAATCGGTACGCGTTCCGGTAACTGTAGTGAAAGCGAGAGATTACAAAGAAGCATACAACAGTGCTGGAGTCCAATAAATGTCCAATGTGGAGGAATGGTCGGGATGTGAAGGTGTCTTTTAAGGGGAGGCAGGGCTGATCGGAAACCTTGAGGACTTTGACCGGCCGTTCCTTGGTAGAGCAAGGTGATTGGACAATACGGAACACGGCGGAGGAAGTACTTTCCCACACAATTTGGCAGGTGGAGTACTTGGCTCAGCCACACATGAGGCTGGGTGAAACTTACGGTATACGGTTACATTTCAAGGTTCAGAGTTGAATGTTTCAAATTGTTGTCTCTCCCCAGCTCTCATGTCAAAATGTCATCATTACTTCTGCCACAATAGGCTTTTTCTCGTGGATCGATGCTATATTGAACATGCCAGCCCTACAAATTCGCCTCCTGCCGAGCATGTGAATGCTTGAAAGCGACATCATATTCACGGAATCCGTGGTTATTGTTACTGAAGATAACGGCCCTTTCGCGGAAATGTTTAGTATGATGGTACGAGTCGTGGACCTACGGACTCTCCCAGTCGACGTACACCATATAACGAGGGGCTACAGCCATCACCTGGCTCCACCATTCAGCCGCCCGTACTAAGTACGCTATGGACAATGCCAGTCCACAGTGCCCACGTCTCCCATGCCCCGGGGTCTGAGTCGGGTCGATCGCTCTCTACATTACAGGCTCCCCATGTCTTAGGGCTTTTGGGTTATGCGAGACCTCAGAAATCATAGCATGGCAGCTAGTATCGGAGACTCCAAGCGACTTCAAGTGGGAGGTAATCTGTTACTACTCGTGCGAGGCGAGAAGTGCATAATCTTGGTGCAGATTTTCTCGAACTAGATTGGCCCAATGGCAATTACTTCTATGCTTTCTGCTCCTATCACTTAGTCTATCTCGTTAGATTCACTAAGCGACATGAAGATGCACTTGGCTCGACCCCTCCACATGTCGGCCTCAGTAACGACGATGGAATTCTTGTCAGGGTTCTAGAACACTTAGTATCTGCAACCAGATCTGGCCCTCCATGGCGAGGGAATATCGAAGTTCAAGACTTCTTTGATAGGCAGAAAGACCATCTGGGTGGGGACTGCCGCGTGTGCCATATTGCTCGAATGCTTGCCTGGACATTTAGTTGCATATAAGCTATGTACCTCTGAATCGAAGGACAATATCCTTTGTTATGAGATGCTTGCGTCTATATGCATGTTCCGAAGCCTCCTATGTTCAAGTATGTATCATCCATGGAATAGGAGCCAGGACCAATGGCAGCGGGCTGATCAATGGGCTTCATTGACCTGTGCGCAATGCGGGGTATACCCCCTTGTCAGAGAACGTTGGAAGCGAACTTTTATCATGTACAGGGAATTTACCCCGAAAATAGCCAGGAGTAAAACTTCCATTCAGGGTACTCATCACGGGTTCCGATTATTCTAGAGCTGTAGCAATGCATAATTGGACTAACCCTTGGCAGAAAGGGAAGGCATAAAGCTTGCTTGACCCATTCGGTTAATTACGGCGAAAATGCGCCCTTGAATGGGCTACGTCAACACATCTACATAGTTAGTAAAACAGCTAATGCCATTGTCCAATACGGTAAGATTTCAACAAAACAACGGAGACTGCGCCACAGAAGTGGGCTGTATGAGCTCATTGGTGGAGCTCAGCAGCCGCAATGGGAGAAGTTATGGTCGTGACGTCAAGATGTTTCAGCGTATCCAATTTTGTACAAAGAGACAAAGGAAGAGTGAAGTGCCTGTGCCTGATGATACATTGACATTCAGAACGAGGCACAAGCCGAAAACGGAAATTGTGCCAGTGGGGGAAAGGAAACAAACAAGTTGCGACATAGGACACTAGTAAGAACTTTTTTTTTAGACAGAAATCTACATCTGCATGTCACAATTTGTATTCCGAGACCTGCGGCATTAGAGGATATGTCCAACACATATCTTTGCTTTCCAGTGGTCTTTACCTCCAGTTACATATACTAAGGCTCCATAATCTCACACGGCGAAGCCCTCTCACCCCTATGTGTTATGTGCCTCAGCGCCACTTTCCCCAAGCATAGGGACCCCGCCGCTCCACCACCCACACTAGACTACTTTGGTTAGTAGAAAATTGTACAATTATGCACTCCTCGCTAAACAATAGCCCATTCGTGCCTAATTCGTTTAGAGAAAGCATGCGCAGCTATGTTATGATAATAGGAATCCATGAGGGACGGCTAGGGGTAGATAGTTGAATTGGCATATATCATTAGCATAACTCCCAAGTGAATTCTATCGCAAAGATAATGTATGCGGCGGAGATAGAAACCAGATTCAGAGCGACGTGGATAGCAGGATGTAAAGTTATAGGGAACCACACAAATCGCCAGCAAGGGTGAAGATTTCTTCATTGCCTTACTGGGCTGGCTGCTTTCCTTCTGTTGAGGAGGCATTCCCATTATCCGTGGCCTTGCCCCAAGCCTCTTCAAAGGCCGATTCCGCCAAAGCCTCATGCCCAGGCTCATTGAAGGCTGATTCCCCGGGAACAGCACTGGGAGCAGCACTGCGTGATTGTGGTTCGATGATCTCCGCCTCTTCCTCCTTTAAGTCTGCGTCAACTTCCTTCTCGACTACCACCTGGGAAAAAGACGATGAAGCAGTTTCAGTATCGAGCAGATTCGTCTCCCTAGTCGGTACCGCTTTGTTATTCGCACCAAGAAGCTCGAGGTCAAAGTTCGAACTATAGACCACGGCTGAGAAGGCTTCAAGTTCACGCACGTTCTGGTCCATGGCAACCAGATACTCATTTGGTGGGTGGGCGCCATTGCCAATCACGTGTGCCTGGCGAGTCATGGCAGCCAGGAGGTTGGCAAGCTTTGTCTTGCGCTCGGAGTTGGCAGTCAGGGGCACAACAGTGGCAACTGAATCGAAGGACTGCAGGGGAGCCTCCGGGGCGGAGGTGGGCGCTTTGAAGGCGTCAGCAGCGCATCTTTGATCAATAAGGGTTGAGAATCCTTCGTTGTTAAGAAGTGTGAGCACGAGGGAGAAAGATGGAGAATCGATCAAATCCGCTGTCTCATCCAGGAGGTGTCGAAGCTTCGACGCTGTCTGGGAGGAGGACGGGTCAGCTACGCCTTCCACGCCCGACTCCTGTAAGACATGTTCCTCTTCCTCCGCAGGGGGAAGCAAGCAAGAAAGCCATTTTTGAGATCGTCGCTCGTCCTCGGTGCTGCCTTCCACCTTCTTTCGGATTCGCAAGGTCAATTCAGAGAGCTTGGCCAAACTGATATCCTCACGTGGATTCAAAGGTCCAAATACTTCCTCTACGGCAGTTTGCACTCTTCCCATCAGGTCTTTCCACCCGCGATGAAGCAGCCACCAACTGAAGGCAAGGTAACGTCGGTTGGTCTCGAAGTCATCGCCCAATGTTTGAGTGAGTTCATCATCGTGGTCTTCAAGACGGATCGTCGAGGCGTTGGCAGGTGGCGTAGCAAGTGAGATCACGCTGGAGAGGTAGTTCCGACGGCCGAGCAGGTTGAGTTGGATGTGTGTGAAGATGGTGAGCAAGGAGAGAGTGTAGACCATAGTAAAAGACCGAGTGACAGCTAAAAAAGAACCTTAGTTTCTGATACGCGTGGTTTTATGAAGGAGATTCGGGAATGAAGACTCACAAGTAATCTTCACCTCATTCCACAGCTGTGTCTTGTTCCGTTTGGGCCGAGGTTGTCCGTCCGAGTTCAGAGAAGCGTCCCCGACCTGACTTGCGTGCACATATCCCTCACTCTGGAAACTGGAGAGGCTCCTCCGATCATCATCCGGTAGACTTGGGGATACCGAGCTCAGGTCTGACCCAGTTGCCTCCCCTGCATTGAGCCTAGCCAACCTCTCCGCTCGCTTCTGTTGCAGCTCCTTGGTCAACTCCTCAACCGGGAGAGCATCGATGATATTCTCGGCGGCGGTCGGCAATAAGGCGAGGACAGTATATGTGCAATCAGTCTGGTTTTGTTCGAAACGTCGGCGTAGACTGTTGCCATGGGTTAGTGATTCGGGTTCGGGGTATTCTGGTCGATTGCACGCGTTACAAGCTCGCGTGCTTACTAGTGGAGAGACAGCAGTCATCAGAAAAGAAGGGAAACTGACTTTTCGCGAGCAATCCGATCGCTGCTCATGCGCTCGCGTGCCTCGGAGATCTTGGACAGCACATATTGTCCAGCCAAGTAGCCAGCTCCTATCACACCAGCCCCGATGGCAAGACCTTTGCGATTGCGCTGGAACCAGCGCTTTGTCGCACCGATCATATTTGTGTTTAATGCTTCTCTGGGAAGAAGTTAAATTGACATACGATTTCCAATCATGATAGATCCAGGAGATGGATGGTTTCAGTAGATGGGGAAGAAAGGCTTCGGGCGCTGATCGCCAGTTTCAGGCCTCGGCTAGAGCTCACCGTCATGCAACGTGAGTGAACCGAACCTATAAAGCACACCAGGCAGGATTTAAGGTCCTGCAACGTCCTACATGCTATAGACACTTGGCTAGATGTATTTTCTCATGTCTCTAACTCATCCAACAATTATCGTGTTCCACTAGAGCTCTCCCCCGGATTTGGCATGGTCATCCCGCAACCAACCGCTAATCCCTGTATGTCTCTCCTCTTGTTCTCTTCTCATTGCTCTTTATACTCTCCGCATACTCCGTATGTTCCGTACTTCTTCGACATAAATGTTCTGTTATTTCCTCTTTCAAACTGGGTTCCCCCCAGTTCGATGATAAGCGATAAGCTTCAGTCGGCTACGCCCGATACAGGCCCGCCCCCCTTGCCATATCAGCCAGCCTTGGAGTCATCACTCCACCCTACATCCACCCAGCTTTATGCAACAACTAGATTACTGATTGTCCCTCCATTCTGATTTACGATAATACTTCCCTTTCTACCAACAAGGGCCGTCTGAGACTGCACCCAACCGACTGATTGTGAGCTGCGTCATGGCGGGGATGGAGCCCCGCAAAACCCCTCCGGAGTACTTCCTGGAGATCTTCGCCGATACCACCCATGTGCGAGATGTTCTGAAGGGTTAGTGGTGAGCTGGAGACATTATAACTATGTTCTTAGTACTAATAAATCCTGCCAGGTGTCCTAAACCTCATCTTCTTCCACCGTTATTTCCCTTCTATCCGGCCGGTCACCTTTGACGTGCTCGACTTTACACTCCCCGCTATAAATGATGCAGATCTAGAGACGCTGATTGAATCGCGCGTATCGGCTCTGGTCCGGCAGCACCTGTCTTCCGCAGCCGGGCAGGATGGCCAAATTGTGGGTGGGGGCGGGGGCGTGCGAGGGCGGATTGCAGTTGAGTTCTACGAGAAGAAACGGCATCGCTCGGGCCACTGGTTTGGGGGATTGACAGGGAAAGGCGAGGAAGAGGTGTGCTGGGAGATTTGGACACTTGATGTGACGATCGCGACACCGCGCACTGAGTCCGGTATGTACTACCTGCGGGTCCCTTTATCCAGAGCTAATTTGGTTACAGAACGAGCCAAGGTGCGCAAGGCAATGGGAAATATGCTGCAAAAGGCAGCTTTGAAAATCTTGAGCGTTGTAAATCGAGATAAAGACCACATCCCACCCATAACCACTAGCGATTCAAACCCGTTCCCCTATCGGATTGTGGTCAACCCTCGCGCTGACGGCTGGGGAAATCGCATAGGGCTTTACTGAGCTATGCGGTTTGACTAAGAGCTTGAACGATACACATCAGAATCGGCAAGTCTGATACAATCACAGTCCGATTACTGCTCAACCAACCGGACACGTTGCTTTTGTTTCCTTCAGTGGAACATGACTGTGGGCGATCGATCCCGATACGATTTACGAAATTTGTCAGATACTAGAAAAAGGGCTATTACTATGAGCCTACGAGCCGCTCATGTGCTGTGCTTGGACTTGCAAGCGATGGCCGTACGGAGTTCAGTGGTTAGGTGTTTATCTTTTTGGATCCTTGAGAGGGCTGGGCTGGTTCTTTTTACATTGCGGCGTAAGTACATATGGATTTTTTTTTCACAATCACAAAAATAAATACGAATATCCTGTCCCGGGTCATCTGTTGGGCCCTAACAAGGCAGTATAGACCAGAAACAAAAAGGTGTGTGATCTCGGTATACAATATCTCTTCAAAAGACCATCATTTTCGGTATACAGCGTATGCTTGAGTTTGATTTTAAACTGTCTGTTGGCCAACCTAACCGGAGAATCTTGGGAGGGATTTCCAGGAACTAGACATTGATATTAGTTGACTGTCTCAGTACATTTTTCTTGCTTATGCCAAGTAAAAATAGCATGCTAAAATGATCGGGGCCAAGATGGTTGTGATTGAGAGGATTGAAACGGCTCCTTTGGTGACTGGACATTTCAAGCCTGCTAGGCCGTTTGTTGTTGACTTGTCTGCTATTGAGAACGATGTTATTCAGTCTTCATTCTATGACGCGAATCTGGTCCGGGGATGGTGACCATGTTGTCATTCATGCTGAGGTGCGCGGCCAATTCAAGTTCTTACAGCAGTTCATTCGGAAATGAATAAGAGCTTGTATACCTCGGAATCGTCAAATGGCTTGACCCAAGTCATGTGTCCTCCATGGGGACACAGCTCGATGGCGCATAGGGCAACCCGAAGATACATGTAGATGACGTAGGTCTCGAACATCTGAAAATAACTGCATCCACATTCACAATGTACGAAATAAACAACTAATCCCCTCGAGTATGACAAAATGGCAAGAACCAAGATAAAACATTCTCGTATTCGAGTATCCAACCCCGGACCCGTCGCAACATTTCTCGGGTCCTCTCTATCTCATGTTCCAGCTATTGCACTGCTCCTATTTAATCATAGCAACGAAGCTCTGAGCCAACCACTTCACTTCGTGCTTAGTGCCCCGCCTGGCACAGAGAATCGGAACCGCGACCCGCGCAAGCAGATTCCACGGAACTTCTATTGTCGACGCGATTCTCAGTTAGGAGGTGAGACTACACTCCTTTAGGTGGAGTGGGGCTTGCTCGCAGCCTCGGCCTGGGCGCGGAGGTTGGAGGAGGTACCGTTGGAGGAGAAGAAACGGCCAAGCACGGGCTGGAGGAAGGAGTGGAAGACAACTTGAGCACCGCTGCGAAGTAAGTCAGCTACTGGTCTCAACTTGTTCATAGGATAGTAAAATACCTGGTCTGGGGAAGAGCCATCCACATGATCAGGACGAACTTGAAGATGTAGTAGAAGGCTGCGATCAGTTAGCAAAATAGTAGGAAGATTGGCGTCTTGTGGGCACATACGGAACCAGTAAGCGGCGCTGATGGCGCTCTCAATGACGGTCAGGAAAGCGAAGACAACCCAGTACTATCAAGTCATATGTTAGAATCACTGATCGCGTGCGAGTGGGAAAGATGTCACGTGGATGGTGTATGATAACCCCGAATCGGCAGTGATTTCATACATCCGCATGATTGCGACAACAAGCTGATAGAATCATATGAACATACCGTGAGCCACTGTGAGTGAAAAAACACACTGTTAGCAATCTGCACATGGAAAGGAAAAGGTCTACAAAAAAAAATCTTACCTGGGTATCATCGTGAGTGCTTGAGGTGAAAAGCGCCTGAAGGGAGTAGTAACCGGGAATCAGGAAACCGGCAAAGTTGACGAGGAACTCGCCAGCAATGTTAAAGAAGACAAGGAAGAAGTAGATTCCGACAAGGCCGAGGATGACATAGACCTTGGGGACATTGGTCTGCCGCTCGAGGTTGGCAAGGACAGGGTACTTGGAGAGCTACAAAATGACGGACGTCAGCTCAAAATCATAGCAATAGATAGCACAGTGAAGTAGCTATCAGATAATGCGATTGCAGTCGCTCCTGCTGTGGTCGCTGGCGCTGAGGAACACTGCAGCCACCAGGCGAGGGCTAGACCCGAGGCGCCAGCGAAACACACAACAATGGCTAGAAACGTACCTCCTTGTCGAGCTGAGCAATGGAGTGCTGGGCACGCTCCTGGAAAGAGGCCATTTTTACTTATAAAGAGTATTTGCGGGAGAAAAGGTCAAAGAGAGCTAATAGGATGACAATGGAGCGAGGGATGGTGAGAATGCAACCGGTCAAGCTGGCGGCAAGAAGACAGAGGCTAGGCTGTGTGTATCACGTGATGTACATGACGTATCCGTCTGTGCCATGTGAAGCTGCACAAAGTAAATTGGTATTGGTTTGAATGTACGAGAGCATATCACTAGTGAATTAGTATCAGAAGATCTAGCCATGGAGGTCATGCAGATATAGTTACTTATATGTCTAAATATACTGTCTGCTGGAGTGCGTAATTATCTGAGGGGTAAGGCAACTACATTGATGGCCTTAAAATGTAGCGAGGTTTAAGCTTCAGAAGTGTTAGTTAGTTAGTTAGGGTTAATGTATGAATGTATTAATGTACCTTGAAACAGATATCAGAAGTTGAATGTATCAGAAGTCCATCCGCTTTCCTCCACAAATCTCCGAAGATAGTCATACATCCCACACATGACGTACGCGGCTTTTGCCCGAAATCGAGGGCCGTTTGCTCTATAGATAAATACATATGTACCTAGCCTGCCTGCCTGCCTGCTCACATTTCGAATACTTTGCTCTTCCATCATGAAACCGGGGAGAGTTCCCTTGTGGGCCTCCCCTGCTACAGTTGGTCCGTTCGAGCCTATATTCATCCTTTTCCTTCTCCCGAGGTCCCCGCCTATAAACATTGACCAATTATGGGACATGTGCCTAATTCCACTGTCTTTGTCTCAGACATGAGCTATCAATGTGAATTTAAAAAAGTGATAGATGCTGAGTCTCTTCACACACAAGTGACCTCGGTATTGTGCTTCAACATCCACATGATACTCACGTGACTCACATTCACAGGGATGGGTGTTTGAAACCGGCAAAGAATAGATTAAAAACTCAAAAGAAAGACCAAAAAAAGAAAGGATTCAAACACTGCCGAGAAGACAGCATACACTTACAGTTAGTGCCTGACCGCCAGAGTCGATCTCGGCATATGATGTGATTGGGTCGAAGGGCTAAACAGAGAGGCATTAGGCTAACTCCCGTTATCAGACTCCCCCTAAAAAATTCCATGCAGAAACGTCTAGATATCTACGCATTACTTTATATGTGTTGATACTCCTCAGTGGACACTCGAATCCTTCCGAATCCCTCGAATCTCCATATCCCGTGCTCGAAAAGGCGGGCCATGTAACCGCACCCGCGTACCGCCCTTCTAAGCTCTTCCATCCCCGAGGGAGCTACACAATACAATTGAAAGCATTCAACGTGGTTTATGGGTCAATTTGTCACTGTCAATTGTTCTACGATTTGAGATCGTCATCTATACCACGTGGGATCCACCTTTGATCCTCAAGAGCTATTTCGATTTCCATTCCGAATCACTAGATAACATCGATACACACTTTTCTCAATGCGACCACAGTCAGTCCATGAATACTCCTCGAATCCCCCAGATCCAATTCTAATTGTTTGCTCGCGCTCCGTTTAGACGCGAATACCATATTGTTGTTTTGGGTGCTGGTAGGAGCCTTTCCTCCTGAGATATTCCCATAGGTCACAGGCTGACCACAGGCGTTCCCATGCGACGCGGCAATAGGAGGTGTCGGAAAAAGTTGCCTAACAGGTTAGTTCCCTATCTTCGCCGCCCTGCCCTGAGTCCTCAAGCTGATCAGCAACCATCTTCCAGCCCAATTCGTTCAAAATGTCTGGATCGAAAGCTACGACCCCACGATCGAGGATTCATACCGGAAACAGATCGAGGTAGACGTAAGTTGTCCACGATGCGCTGGAAGTTGCTCGGCCGTTAACCAAGCTTGATAGGGTCGACAATGCATACTGGAGATGTAAGTAACTCGGGTGGTTTGGATATGGCATGATGCTAAATTTTCGAAGTCTTGACACCGCAGGAACAGAACAGTTCAGTGAGTCCACCCCTAAATCAGGACATCTACCCGTGTGAAATCGAAGCTAACAACCCACAAGCGGCAATGAGGTAAATCTAGCCACCAGTCCATCCACGCACAATCGATTCCACGGACCAACCCCGAGAAAACCACATCGTACTAACAACACTCTCCATAGAGAACTCTACATGAAACAAGGCCAAGGCTTCCTCCTCGTCTTCTCCATCACTAGCATGTCCTCCCTAAACGAACTCTCCGAGCTCCGCGAACAAATCATCCGAATCAAAGACGACGAAAACGTCCCAATCGTGATCGTGGGCAACAAATCCGACCTGGAAGAAGACCGCGCCGTACCACGCGCTCGTGCCTTCGGTCTATCCCAGAAATGGGGTAACGCCCCATACTATGAGACCTCTGCCCGCCGTCGCGCAAACGTCAACGAAGTCTTCGTCGATCTGTGTCGTCAGATCATCCGCAAAGACTCCGAGGGCTCAAGGAGTAGTGGCGATCCCAACCGCAAGCGCGAGGGCCCGAATCGCCATGACCGCAAGAAAGACAATCGCCGGCCGAGAAATCGCCGCGGGCCGTGTGTCATCCTTTGATTCAACAATTCGAGTGACCCCTTTCTCAGACTGGACCCTTGTCTTGTTTCATTTTCATGCGATACGACCCTCTGCGACCTATGCCCTACCCGACGCTGCTATGCATCTTGACATGTCATGTATGACTGATGTTCTTTATATGTTGCCGATATGTCTGTGCCTCTCCTATAGAACCATGCTTCGCTGCTACAGATTTGTATCTTTCTTTTCTTTTGGGCTGTACACAATTGGTGTCATCCTCTTTCTTTTTATATTTGACATATTTGAGGTTTGGTTGATCTGGACGCTAAAAAGATTACTTTCACGAGATGGGTAAAAAAGTGCTTTCTTTTCCTTTCGGTCCTGTTGCTATTATCGTTCGGTTAATGAGCTTGCGCTAGCCCTTCAGTGTTGGGCATGTGGTTGGACCCTTCGCCGTCAACACAGAAAGGCAATGGAATTATAGGACCGGATATCGTGCGCTCCAGGCCATTTCCTTTGATGAGCTCCTTGGACCGGCCGTACAGTTCTAAAGGTCCACTAGACTAAAGAACGCTAGTCTGGAGAGGCCTGTAGGCTATACATTGCGATGCAAGATGAGTTTTCACCGCATGTTTTTATTTGACTATTCCAAATATCACATCAAGTCAATGGCACATGAACGTATATCTTCCATCCTATGCTTTTTCAAATGTATCCTACATAAAAGTTTGCATACCTGAATCCAACCCGTCGGCGCTCTACATCCGGAACACGCCAAACCTGGTTTGCACATCCGGCTCAGCCTTGCCACTGAGCGCAGCTGCCAGACCCAACCCTAGCATCTTCCTCGTCTGAGACGGGGGGATGATACCGTCATCCCACAAACGAGCCGACGAAAAGGTCGCTTCAGATTCACGGTCAATGCGTTCTTTCAATGCCGGATCAGCGGATCGTCCGACGGCCTCCATAACGGCAGAGAGTTGCTCAGAGCCCATAACGCCGATCTTAGCATTAGGCCACATGAAGAGAAGGCGAGGGGAGTAGGCACGACCACTACAGCAATATCAGTTAGAAAAGAACTAGAGACAGCCTAAGGAGAAACTTACCACATCCCGTAATTACCAGCTCCAGCACTGGACCCAAATACAACAGTGAACTTGGGGACATCGGCGCAGGCAACAGCAGTGACAAGCTTAGCACCATTCTTCGCGATGCCGCCCTTCTCAGCATCAGCGCCGACCATGAAGCCCGAAATATTCTGCAAGAAGACAAGAGGGATCCGCCGTTGAGCACAGAGCTCAATGAAGTGTGCTCCCTTGAGCGAGGACTCGGAGAACAAGATTCCATTGTTGGCGACGATACCGACACGATGGCCATGGATTCGGGCAAAGCCCGTTACCAGAGTCGAGCCATAGTCACGCTTAAACTCGGCAAATTCACTCCCATCGACAATCCGTGCGATGACCTCATGGACAGGGATCTGACGGCGTAGATTCGTGCCGACGATCCCGTTTAGCTCATTAGGGTCGTACAACGGCTCTTTCACGACAAGCGAATCTCCATCACCGTTCTCCAGCTGGAGCGGAGTCGTCGTGGTAGGGTAGTTGAGATTCGCGACGGACCGGCGAGCAAGGACAAGAGCGTGAGCATCGTCAACAGCCAGGTAGTCCGTTACGCCGGAAATGCTCGAATGCAGCTGACCGCCGCCCAGGTCTTCGGCGGAAACCTCCTCGCCGGTGGCGGCCTTGACGAGAGGCGGGCCTGCCAGGAAGATGGTACCCTGGTTCTCGACGATTATGGTCTCGTCGCTCATAGCAGGCACATATGCGCCACCCGCTGTGCAGGGACCCATGACAACGGAGAGCTGTGGGATACCGAGGGAGCTCATGCGGGCTTGGTTGAAGAAGATGCGCCCGAAGTGATCGCGGTCTGGGAACACATCTGCCTGGTGAGGCAGGTTTGCACCACCAGAATCGACCAGGTAGATACAAGGGAGGCGGTTCTCTTGCGCAATCGCCTGTGCGCGAAGGTGCTTCTTCACTGTGATGGGGTAGTAGGTGCCGCCCTTGACGGTGCTGTCGTTGGCAACGATCATGCAGTTCACACCCTCGACCATTCCAATGCCGGTAATGATACCGCCCGCTGGAACATCCTCACCTTCGTAGACACCGTGCCCTGCGAGTGCTGATAGCTCTAGGAAGGAGGTGCCTGGGTCGACTAGGGCGGAGATCCGGTCTCTTGGGAGCATTTTGCCGCGGGCGATGTGCTTCTCGCGCGCTTTGTCGTTTCCTCCGCGTGCAACTTTTGTGTGTAGGCTGTTCATCCGGTCTAGGAGCTCTTGCATTTGTTCGCTGTTTTCGCGGTACTCCTGTGAGGAAGTATCGACTGCTGTGGGAAGGACGGAGAGGGCTGAGGCATGGTGAGGATGTGTATAACTTGCTACTGTCCTATAAGCTGGTCGCGTAATATTTGTTCGCTGGCGGAATGAATCGAGACATTTGCGTGGACCGAGTCGTGAGCCCCAGCTCCGAAGGACGAGCGGGGACGGGGCACGCATTGCGGGGTAGAGGGTGGAGTGTAACTGGTTCTGAGAAGAGGATGGTAGAGGCTCAAGTCAAAATTGAGAGGGATTTATATCTATGTTATGAGGTTCACGAAGTATTTAAACTCATGCGAGCAGTGGCAGAAGGGAAGCGAGACAAACCTGGGGTTTCTCCAAATGCGGAGATGCGACGATTGCCGCATGTACCCGAGGGCCATCATCATCCCGCCGAGAATGCTAAAAAAGACCAAAAGATGTTGGACAAATGGTGAGGCAGAGATAGTATTTAATAGATAAATCAATTAGCCTGTAAATAGACCATAGTATCAGTCAGAAATCCAAAAGAAAAGTGAAGACGTGCATGTTCGAAGGGGTGGGAGACTCGTACATAGGTACTCCGTAGTGCAACAAGCCCTGGATTGCGCGCCGAGGACTACCGCTCCCCACTGAACACATACTTAAAAGGTCCACTTCCCCAAAGACAATCCCCCCCGGATTTTGCATTCTACATCGATTCTCCCATATAACCATGGCTTCCTTAACCCTCCCTTCTCTCCTTCGCACATCAACGCGAGCGGTGCGACTAAACCGCATCCCCGCACTCACCCCATGTTTCCGCTCCATCTCAACAAAACACCCCAAAGGCTTCGTACCTCCGTCCGAGGATGATCTTCTAGAGCTGCGAGAGCGTGTGCAAGATTTCACAAGTACATTACCCATGCTCTTGCCCAAGTCACATTTCTAACCTTGTCGTAGGGCGAGAGATCCCAGCCGATGTTGCTGCACGGACAGATGAACAGAATGAGTTCCCAGCGGAAATGTGGAGGAAGATGGGTGATGCTGGGTATGGATTCTCTCAAATCGCCGACTCTCTTCAAGAAGAGCGTGTGTTATACAGCGCATACTAACAGGGATGAAGGTTCCTCGGTGTCACAGCCAACGAGGAGTACGGTGGCTTGGGTATGGGCTACCAGGCACATTGCGTTGTGATGGAAGAGATTAGCCGAGCATCCGGTAGGTCTTCTAGTATACGGCCGGTTGAAACCCGATCTGACCTCGATTCTGGATAAAAAGGAAGCATCGGTCTCTCTTATGCCGCCCACTCCCAGCTCTGCGTGAATCAGCTCTCCCTCAATGGCTCGACAGAACAAAAAGAGCGAATTCTTCCAGGTCTTCTATCAGGCGAGAAGGTTGGTGCTCTCGCAATGTCGGAGCATTCAGCTGGCTCCGATGTAGTCAGCATGAAGACCACGGCGAAGGAAGTTGATGGAGGCTGGCTCTTGAACGGAACCAAGATGTGGATTACCAACGTAAGTTGTTTTGGTTAGATGAGATTGGAAGTTCTACCTCATTGCTCACACTTTCTTACAGGGCCCCGATGCCGATTACATTGTCGTGTACGCCAAGACAGAGCCTGAACTAGGCTCCAAAGGGATCACAGCGTTCCTGGTTGAGAAGAACTTCAAGGGCTTCTCTTGCGCACGTAAGCTAGACAAGTTGGGTATGCGTGGCTCTAACACAGGCGAGCTCATCTTTGAGGATGTTTTCGTTCCCCGGGAGAACCTCCTGGGTGAAGTCAACCGCGGTGTCCGCGTATTGATGGAGGGTCTGGACTTGGAGCGACTCGTCCTGAGTGCAGGACCACTAGGGTGAGCCATCCCATACCACAGCGCACGTTTCTCATTCTAACAGTAACTAGAATCATGCAAGCCGCACTTGACCTCGTCCTTCCTTACACACACGTGCGCAAGCAATTCGGTGCACCCATCGCCCACAACCAGCTGGTCCAGGGCAAGCTTGCGGATATGTACACTAAGCTGGCTGCCTCGCGTGCGTACACCTACGCCACGGCACGGCAGGTAGACAACGCCGCCGTGGAACCTGGCGAGTTGACCGTCCGCACTCAGGACTGCGCCGGTGCAATCCTCTACGCCGCCGAACGCGCGACTGAATGTACGCTTGATGCCATCCAGCTCATGGGAGGCAGTGGGTACATCAACGAGATCCCTGCCGGGCGCCTTCTGCGGGACGCAAAGCTGTATGAGATTGGTGCCGGTACAAGCGAGATCCGCAGGATGGTCATTGGCCGCGCATTCAACAAGGAGTATTCTTAAGCAAGAGTATTATACAATGATATACAAAATTTTTTGGTTTGGGAGGATGCCATCCCTTTGGAGAGTATATGCAGATTCATTTTAGTCGTTGTCCATGTCATAATTAGCCCTATATCCAACACCGCAACCCATTCTACTTCTTCTGTCTAGCTGATCTGCGCACCGGCGGTGCCGCACCACGCTTTGTAGGCTCGTGACCACCGTCTTTCCGCAACGCAACCCTCTTCGGACGAGGCGGCGCCGTGTCCTCATCAGTGTCATCCTTCTGTGAAACGACCTTCCGTTTGCTCCCTTTCTTCAACGGAATCACGACTTTCGGTGGCGAAGAGAGTTTCAGCGAGCGGAAAGAGTCAGGGTCCGGGTCCGGGGTTGTATTTGAAGCATCTCCAGTATCCCCGGCACCAACACCTGAATTATCCGGCGAGTTAACATTGGACATCTCGTTCGAGCTATCGGTCTGGTCGTCGGCACCGTCACCAGCGAACACTTCATCGTCAGCCAGCGAGGGATCGACGGTCTTGGACTCAACCACGTTCCGCCTTTTCAACCGCGACCTATCCAACGCGGGCTGGGAAGATTTGAAGACCTCCCGCCAGTTCTCTAGAAGCGCGACTTTCTCGCCCGTGTCCGGCTCGTACAAAGTGGCGACGTCCTGATCCCGGTCTAGCGCGGGCGTTTTCCACACCACGCCCTGAAAGGAGGCGGTATCAGGCACCAGTGGGGATTTTGTTGGCGGAATCCTGGCGATGTGGCCTTTTGGACGGGAAGAAGCCTTTCGTCGCGGTGCTATCGCTGCGATCTCGGTTCTTTTCTTTCTCTCTGCGCTTTGGTCGACGGTCGAGTCATCGTCGTGGTAATCGTCTGAATAATAGTCCCAGTCGCTAAAATAGTCTTCGACATCGATCCCTGGATCTTCGTATAGGGCGGCTTCGTAGTGTGAGGAAGCGGCGAGATCGTCCTGCAGAAGCAAAGTCTTGGTTAGTGCCTGAATTGATGCTGTTTTTCTCGTGCTGAACTGATAGCACGAGTCGATCTAGGCGTCGCCTTAGGAATTTAACTTACGACCATATCTGGGCCTAAATCCTCGTACATGTAGTCATCTTCGAATTCATAGTACTCATCGTCGTCGGACATGTTGGAGCGGATACCAAGAGAAAAAAGTTGAAAGATCGAGTGGCCGGGTTTTCGGGGAGGCGATTGCTAAATGAATGACAAGGCTTGAACGAAAGTAAATCGAGTAAAGGGACGTATAGCGCAAGCAAAACAACGGTGCACGGCTGACATGACAGAGTGAAGATCGGACTGATCGTGCATCAAAGAAGATGGCAATCCTGCTAACATAAGCCTTGGCGTTTCTCCACATCTAGGTACATCGCATTTAGCCTATGGGCTCATCTTTGTTGTGCTCTGTCTTCGATACGGAGAAGACGATGAAAAAGACTAAAAATATGTTTCTATTTCGATCAACATTCGGGTTATATCTATATAGACTCTGCTAACTAGTTAAGAAAGCAGAGTAAAAGCCTGAGAAACAAGGCATCTATGCAACTTTTCATAGGTTCGATAGGGACATGGATTTTATGCGTCTCTTTATGTTTTTGCTTCACTCTAAGTTGCTTTTTTTAGGCTCTCTTTGGGTTGCCTCTGCATGAGATGGCTGGTCTCGTGGCCCGCATGTAGTTTTGACTTCGCCTTCCGTTCTATATACAGTGCTACCGGCCAACAAGTATATCAAAATAGCACGTAATAGTTAGGATTCGGACATCAAATAACTTCGTCCATTTCCTACTTATGATACCACAAGTGCTCAGGTGATATTGTCCAAATATACTGGTCCATTCCATGAATTCGAATTACTATGCCTTTTACGGTATACACTTCCTTCATCGCGGACCGGACATCTAGACTATACAGTCTATTCATCTCATAGAACATATGTCGATTACCCAAATGGATGTCGGACATAATCGAGGTCTGCGTCATACCAAGTTATATATATCAGTCCTCGCCCGCCCCCCCCCTCCTCATTTTTTTCTTTCCTTCTACAACCATCCCACACGATGTACTAGGGCGGGCCCCCCATTATTCGTCCCAACTGGGACTCCCAACTGTTGAAGAGGATTGAATTCAACAAACCCGCCCAAGGTTTCTGGAAGACTATATGTGTGCTTTGAATTTTGAGAACCTCGTCACCTCATTGCTTGGGTATGGGCTAAGGGCCCTTAGCCTTTTATTCAAGTGCTGAGCATCCGATATTTCCAATATCTGGGTTTGATGTCATCATTGAATACTGCGGCGCCTGCGGTCTTTGCTGGTGGATAGAAAGTTGGATTCTCACAATATCTCGTCTTCGCCGGTGTTTGTTGAGAGACCCAGGGCCCGGGTCTCTTTTCGAATACCGAGCATCCGCATTCTTGATACCTGGGTTTGATGTACTGGATGAAGACTGCAGCCCCTGTGGTCTTTGTTTGGGACTGATAGCTCGGACTCTAAAGACCTCCTGGTTACTGATACCTACTTCCGTGTTTCGAGACTTGAATGTATGAAGGAAAACAGCCGCAGTTGACATTGACATCGTGTGGGATTAGTCCATTCTATATCTGTGGATGCCTCTCTCATCCCATCCAGACCGGCAGCTTTTCCCACTGAGGTTTCTGCCCGCTGGACGTTGTTGAACATCTCTTGGTGAACCACGTCAACTTCACCTGGGAGCTCTTCTAACATGGTTTTTTCCTGGTTGCACATTCACCACGGTGTCATTGATACCACAATATTCCTACAATACACAAGCATTCGAGGCGCTCTTTTCGGCTGGAAGCTTTTCGCCCCGCGGGTTTTTCTCCAGCCCGGTTTTAATGAGGGCTCAATTTCACGACAACTCAAGACAATCTCTTGAAGACATCGACGGCTCGACACTGCCGTCCGGGAATAGGAAAACGTTTTGGAGGAAATCGAATCGGTCGGATCTGAAGGAAAATTGGGTATGGGAAACCCGTGCCACCCGACGAGTCCTGAAGAAACAAGAGGACTCGACTGCCTATCGGACGCGCTGAAGAAGAAAATGGACACAGGTTGCTATGCCACCTGCCTTTCGAACGGGCCCTGGAGGAGAAAACGGGTATGAGTTGCCATGCCATCACGGTCCGTTGAACGGGCCCCGAAGAAGAGAACAGGTATGGCAACCTATGCCACCACTGGGAATCCAACGGACCCTGGAGGAGGAAATGGGCATGGCAACCCATGCAATACAGTCGGATAATCATTTGAATATCACCAAAACCAACAACAACAACAACAACAACAACAACAACAACAAAAAATCGAAAAGACTCCGCAAAAGAAAAGACAAAAGAAAACAAAAAAAGACCACAAAAACAATGAACAAGCCAACCGGCACGATCAAAAAGAAATCGAAAATTCAAACGACCACAAAACGTCAAAAAAACAAAGCAATGGAGGAAATTCGAGGGAAAACAAAGGGAAACTGGATTCGATCTATGTACGAGGTACTCTTTCCAGCTGGTTGTATTTATCCTACAGGGTTTTCTTCCAGCTGGTTTTAACGAGGCCTCGAATTTATGTCGGAGGAGAGATGGATATTGGGCTTTACTTTTTGTATTGAATGATACTTCATTTATGGTTGCTGGACAGTCCGAGGGAGGGCATGGCACCTCTCTTTCGGGCTGTCCAGTGACAAAATCAAAGGTTTTATATGGGTGTTGCTGGACGGTTCGGGGAGGGCATGGCACCTCTTTCCGGATTGTCTGGTGACCCAACACAATCAACTTTATTATAATTACTTGGATTCTTCATGTAGTTATAGATATCGTACTACAACAGTATAGAAAGACAACCATCGTACAGCCGATTCTTCTGTTTTGCCAAAGCGGCGATGTGCTTGTTTGAGAATATATTTCTGCGATTTGAAAGCTGGTCGCATTAACAAACTTCAGATCTCATGGTGATAGCTGACTCAATTCCCTTTCAATCAAATGGTGCGGTAAAGTTCCCAGATACCTGAGGATCCCAAGTAATCCAAGAACGCCTCGTTGAGTCCTTGTCGCAGAAGTTCATCCCCCATGTAGTACTTTTTCGCCTTCTCTCTCACGGCGGTTCCGAGAGCGCTATGAAGAGGTTTCCCCAACCGAATTGTTTCAATAGATCTCAGGAGGTCCATCCAATAGATACTCTCCGGCTTCCAACGTCGTTCCTCATCTGCAGCTGATGCAAGTCTCTCAAATCCCGGTAGTGATTGAACAGTTTCCCAAATTCCAGGTGCGTCATAGTATGCCGGCCTGCCATACTTCCTCAAAACTTGCTGAGTATACTCAGGGTCAACCATCTGTCGAGAGGTTCGTTGTAAATAATCGATCTGTTGATCTATAAGATTTTGGATATCCTTCCTCGCTTGGACAGGGTCTTCTTCTTTCTCCATCTCGTCGAGGTGATGGGTAAGTTCATCTCTCAATTTCCGCAAGCGATATTGTGTCCATTCAGGATAGAGAGAGCTTATATCCGCATAAGGTCGGACGTTGGTAATATAGCTGGAGTCATAGACGTTTGGCATTTTCGAACGGTATGAAGTGATGGTCGATATCCGCTCCTTCACACCTTTCGCCCGGGCAGCGAGATGACAGACTTCGCCGCCTTGGAGCATGACAGCATGACCAATCTGGGGGCCCTCAACCTTCACACACGGTTTAATTAGTGAGGGCACTCCAGTTTCAGCAAAATTGAATTCGTACACACCTTCTGTACCTCCCCGTCTCCCTTCTTGATATATGTCTCGCCTCCGATCATACCCTCAGTATCGCTTAGCATCAATACACAGACGTAAGGATATGAGTCGTAGCTTTGGTCCAATTAGTACTTGTCAATGCTACAAGCAAGGTGACTAGGATAGGAACTTACTGCCACGGAATGATAGCACTAGCATCTTTTAAAGGGTCGTAACTTCGTTCCTCAGGGCTCAACTGGAGCTTCTCTGCCGCCGGCTCAACTTTGAGATTGCTGGCCATTTCTGCGATGGTAGTGCCTTCAACTTGAATGTTAGTGTGCCCTATTTCCGTTGGCATCACCACCTCCAGAGGTACACCGACTGCTTCAGAGACAATCCTCATTGTCTCGGGGTGCGTCCAAAGATCATTGACGAACTTGGACTGCTTCACCGCATCACGGAGAACCAAAGTTCCTGGGAACGGCGAACTGGCACATTTGTCTATAACGTCTTTCTGGAATAGGGCCCTTCGGTAGGATTTGACACCTTCGGCTGACAAGAGTGGAAATGGCACTGTTCCTGCAATGGGCGATGCGGTTGGACTCTGCCTTAGAAGCAATTCTTGCATTGTGAATTTCTTTGAGGGTGGGGTGTAGTTGAGGTGCACCTATTGGATGAAATCTTAGTGGCGAAGTTATGGTTAATCGTCGAAACTTCTCTAGATTCACACACTTTTGGATCGAATACCTCTTCCTTGGTGGATTTCTCGGAAGATTCCCAGATATATTGCCTTAGTAGGCTAAAAGAATTCATCATAGCCATAATGTGTTGACCAAATAGCTAGAACCTAGCAAGGTAATTGCTGTTGGTTCTCAAATTCGAAAAAAAGTTATGATATAGGGGCGAGAAAGATATAATTGAAGCTCAAACAAAGTACTCGGCTTGGATTGACTCACTTGGGCAGTGCGCTACAGCGCAGATAAGACATTCCTATCCAGGAAGTTCTGTCCGGGGCATATCGCCGGGATTACATCAATATTATAGGATCGCATGTCCACGTCTAAATTCTTACTGTAATTATTAAGATGTGAGTTTGCAATAGTTAGACATTGCCTTCGTGAGCGATGACTTTACTATTATTCCATAATCCTGTATACAGGACAAGAAGATCCGCCACTTCTATTGAGATGGATCTATCATTCTTTTCATCTCCCGAAATGTAAACCAGAGACTTGTGGCTGTCGCCTTCTTACTTTACCTTATCAAGGTCTTGGCTTGATAAGTTACAAGCCTAAGACTCGTCAATTGGGTATCACGGGAGCAGAGATGGAAGTTTATTAACATTGAAACCCAGAGTGTGTTTGTACTACATAGCATTCCGTCTTTCTCTTCGCATTCACTGCAATGTCAGCTTAGTTCATTTGCTTAAATTCCCAGGTTTATCACGGACTGTGTGACGAGACAGCATCCGTTGCTCGGTCTCTAGGCTTATCACTTCGACCTGTTCACCGGACTCCCGACTTGACAACATCGAAGCGTGATGTTTAGCTTGTGAGGTAAAGTAGAGAGGGTATAGGTATGTTGTAGACTCTTCTTCAATATACCCAGCATAGAAACCTATAAACGGGCTCGGTGGGTGCATGCGTCCCAAGTAATCCACTCCCAGTTTCCCCTTTTTTCAACAATGGAGCATCACCCATAATCACTCTTTTAGTCGGTAGCCATCTACCCTGTTCTTTACTCACTGCTAGCCATGCAGGAATTTTAGCAGACATCTACTCCGTACTAGTGCTGTGGGAGGCCTCGTGACCATACATTCACGGATTTCCCAAAGCGGCTGATTATGTCATACCCTCGGCTTTCCCCGCAATCTCGCTTTGCGTCGGCTCAACAAGAGCTTCTCCAAATCCCTTGGGATTTTCCCATTCTTCTACTTTATCCCTTCAAATTACCTCGATTATGCTTACATTTTGATCCAAATTACTCTCTGTAAAGACCCCATTGCAGCTGAAAGGGCTGCTCTTTCACCGCCATGACCCTCTCATCCCTTCTCCGCATCACCCCGCGCTTAACCCCAAGTGCGGCCCGCAGAGCATCGCGAGCTGTATCGTCAGCCACCAAAACATCAAATACAACCAAGCCCTTGGATTCCATTCTTATCGCCAATCGTGGAGAAATCGCTTTGTATGTCGGGAACTGAACTGAGTGGAGTTGGTGTTGCTAACTTCGACATATTAGACGAGTTGGACGCACTGCCGCCGAACGCGGGATCCGCGTAACGACACTCTATACCGACCCGGATAGCCGAGCTCAGCATGCATTGAGCTCTCCCTTCGCCTTCAATTTGGGATCGGTGTCGGCCTACCTCGATGGTGATAGGATTATTGAGATTGCAAAGAAAGAAGGGTGTCAAGCAATACACCCTGGTTACGGCTTTGTAAGTTGGCTGTTTATAGCTCAACTTTGGATTCTAGTTAGGATACTAACTTAGAGCTTGATACACAGTTGAGTGAGAACTCTGCATTTGCGCAAAAATGTACCGAGGCCGGGCTGGTCTTCATTGGTCCGCCGTATAAGGCCATTGAGGATATGGGTGATAAGAGGTACGTTACTTGTACTATTTGAATGCGCCCTGTACTTACCAGATGTACCCTATCAGCCGTTCCAAAGAGATTATGACAGCTGCCGGTGTGCCATGCGTCCCAGGCTATCACGGACAAAATCAAGACCCTGCCTTCCTCGAGGAGCAGGCGGACCGTATCACATACCCAGTGCTTATCAAAGCGGTCAAAGGAGGTGGTGGAAAGGGCATGCGTATTGCCAGTTCCAAGGCGGTGTTTCAAGCTCAGCTTGAGTCAGCCAAGTCAGAGGCCATGAGCTCATTTGGAGATGACAATGTGCTGGTGGAGAAGTATATCACCACACCACGGCACATCGAAGTCCAGGTATTTGCAGACAAGCATGGTAACTCCGTTGCACTAGGAGAGCGGGACTGCAGTATTCAACGGAGACATCAGAAGGTTCTAGAGGAATCTCCGGCGCCTCATCTGCCCGACGCAACCAGAAAGGACCTCTGGGCAAAGGCACGGGCGGCTGCAGAGGCCGTCGGCTACGAAGGTGCCGGTACAGTAGAGTTCATTTTTGATAATGACTCCGGGGACTTCTACTTTATGGAAATGAACACCCGCCTGCAGGTTGAGCATCCCGTGACCGAAATGGTCACAGGACAGGATCTTGTCCACTGGCAGATTTTGGTGGCTGAAGGAGCCAAGCTGCCCCTTACGCAAGAAGAAGTGGAAGGACGTATCGCCCAGAGTGGCCATGGCATTGAGGCCCGGATCTACGCCGAAAACCCAGAGCAGGGATTTATCCCTGACTCAGGGCGTCTCCTCCATGTGCGAACGCCGGCTACTTCGGAGGACATCCGCATTGACGCAGGATTTGTGCAAGGAGACGATGTCTCAGCCCACTATGATCCTATGATCTCCAAGCTTATCGTACGCGGCGCGGATCGTGAGGAGGCTCTCCGTAAGCTGGCTGCTGCTTTGGAAGAGTATGAAGTCGCAGGACCTGTGACCAACATAGAGTTCCTAAAAACCATCTGCAAGAGCCCGGATTTCATCGCTGGTGAGGTCGAGACTGGCTACATTGAGAAGCACCGTGAAGAGCTCTTCCCCCCGAAGATTATCGAGGAAGAGGTGCTGGCGCAGGTCGCATTGGCCTGTCTACATCGCGACGCCGTCTCAGGTGCGCGATCCTCCGCCGGGGTTGCGGGCTCAACGGTCGGGTTCATGCCTAGTTACCAAGAGCGACAATTGTCATTTACCGAGACCGCCGCCCCAGGGTCTGGCGACGGCTCTACGTTCAATGTGCGAGTGCAACAGACGGCAGATGACACATTCAACGTGGAAGTCGGCGGACGAGTCTTCGAGCAGGTGGTGAGCCGCATGGATCCGGCGTCACATATTGTTACGTCCTTTTTCGCGCACACCCGTCTAGATACAACAGTGATTCGAGACGAGGATACTATAATCGCATTCCAGCGTGGGACTCAGTACCGGCTCACGCTGCCCCGGGCTAAGTGGATGGAGAAGGCATTGGGACTGAAAGATGTGACGAATAGCGTTCTGGCCCCGATGCCGTGTAAAGTGCTGCGGGTGGAGGTGCAGGCGGGAGATGTGGTGGAGAAAGATCAGCCGTTGGTTGTTATCGAGAGCATGAAGATGGAGACGGTGATTCGCAGTCCACAACGGGGAACCATTGCGCGGGTCGTGCATAAAAAAGGAGTAAGTCACGCGCCTTCCGCCCTGACCAGAAACCCCGAGACATCTTTTCTGTTCATTTGAATCTTTGTTTTGTTTTGTTTTTGCCCTTGTTATCTGCCTGGGCCGCTCCTTTCTTTTCTCCTCGGAACTTAAACTTGAGATCCAAGAACAACTGACTAACATGTGCCTCGCAGGATCAATGCAAAAGCGGAACACCGCTGGTGGAATTCGCCGAGTCCGAATAGAGGGTATCTTTGTTATTAGAAATACAGATTTCAGGGGTTATATGTATATGTATCCCGATGTCTCTGTGGATAACTTCCAAGGTTGATACCCGACGCAAATGTGGAGTTCACTGTCAATTTTGATCTGCTACAATTACACACGATTAATGACTGATCCCGTCGTAGATAGGGACAATGTCAGATAAAAGCCGGTATTATATGAAATGAACAGTAAAACAGTATAAATAGCAGCTTAATAGCAAATACATATATGTAACTCAATAAGGATCGTCTGACTTGCACAAAACTGGGGCTAATCCCCACATAAAACCCAGATGGTCCACTATTTACCCCATATTCAGGTATGTACTCCGATGTGGGATTGGAAACTTGATATTTGACTGTTTTCCCCTGTAAGTACCTTATACGAGCTCTACTTATTCGCCGAGTAACACGGAGTACTACTCGGTGGCAAAATGCACAGCTGCATGACACAAAAATGACCACAGAGGTAAAATCCGAGCTCCCCATTGGCCTGCAAGTGCGCGTTGCCCCCGAAGTGCAGAAAGTGACTGGTTTGGCAAATAATAGGCAATTCCAAAGATCAAGCTGTAAATATCGAGATCTCAAATATATTTGAAGAATAACCTTAGATAGCATACGGAGTACTTTAATAAACAAACAAAAGTACTCCATACATATAGGATACCGCGAAACTGGTGACATCACAGCCTCGCCCTCTAGCCTTTTATATTTTGAAGCTATTATTTTTGAGTTAATAAAAAGCCTTAAGACTAAAATAGCCAGTCCATAGCCCCACGTCTGCTATCCATTGGCTTATTTTCACCGCAACTGTCGCATTCCCCGGCCCTTGAGCCCTGAAAAATTAAAATGAAGTGAGGTCCGATGACCTGCTTTGTTTGCTCTCCCCTAAATAGACCCTTCCTCCTTGCCGATACCCATCACCAATTTCATTCTCCCGTACATACATACATCGCATCTCTCCAGACCTTATACCTCCTGAGCTGCAGTGCATTTGAAGCTGTGACCTTCAAAATGTCCAAGCCTACAGTCGCACGCAATGCCATCAAAGCCCTGAACACCGCCCGCCCTGCATTTACAACCGCTCGCCCAGCTACAGGCTTCACGCGCCCTCTCTCATACACTGCCTCGCTCGGAAAGAAGAAGAGCGATGACCCCGCAAAGGATCCCATCCTATCTGCTACGACCAATGCTCCCCAGGGTGCTTCTAGTGACAAGGAGGGCCAATTTGCTCGCACTGATGAGAGCGTCCAAATCGAATACCCTCCCGACAGCGAGATGCCCACTCAGCCTGTAGCCCAGGGACGCGGCGGCATGCATTTCAAGCGTACTCTTGCCCAATTCTCACTTGAGAAGAAAGTCAGCGTGGTAACTGGTGGTGCTCGTGGCTTGGGTCTGGTCATGGGCCAAGGCCTTGTCGCTTCCGGCTCAGATTTGGCTATTATTGATCTTAACAGTATGTCCCACAACCACCACAAATCAGCGAGATGAACGATTTATAACATCTACCCTAGAGGACGAAGCCGAGTCCGCAGCTGCCTCCTTGATCGAGCAGTTCCGCAAAGAAAATCCCGGTCTGGAAGAGTAAGTCCATTGTTATACTACTTCAGCTTGCCGCGGTGACTAATTCAAGACAGCATGCCCAATGTCACCGCCCATTACGCGGACGTCGCCAACCCTGACTCCGTAAGCACCGCCATGGCCGAAGTCCTGGCCAAGCACGGCCAGATCGATAACCTGGTCACCTCGGCCGGCTTCACGGAGAACTTCGAAGCCATCAACTACCCCTTCGACCGTATGCAGAAGCTGTGGGGCGTCAATGTCGATGGCACATATCTCTTCGCCATAAATGTTGCCAAACACCTGATCGAGCGCAAGGCGCCCGGTAGCATCGTCATGATCGGCTCCATGTCCGGCTCCATCGTTAATGTTCCCCAGCCCCAGGCTCCATACAATGCCGCGAAGGCTGCTGTGCGCCACCTTGCTGCTTCACTCGCTGTGGAGTGGGCTGGGCATGGTATCCGTGTTAACTGTATAAGCCCTGGCTATATGCTTACTGCTTTGTGAGTACCCCCAACACGAACAACATGATACATCTGGGTGGAGAAATGTCTGGAAGGAGTTGTTGCTAACATTGTTTTCGCCATTCAGAACCCGCAAGATTCTCGAGGAGAACCCCCAGCTTCGCGACCAGTGGACTGCTCTCATTCCCGCCGGAAAGATGGGTACACCGGAGGACCTGATGGGTGCCGTGACCTTCCTGCTCAGCGATGCCTCCAAGTACATCACTGGGGCGGATCTCCGCGTCGACGGCGGCTATACCGTAACCTAAGCACGTTGTCTGCGCACTATTTAATCTCGCTTTGCGGTCTCCCTATTGCATGATATTAGCTTTTCCTTTACGGATGTGCATCCGATATAGACCGGTCAGATTTTACGGCATGAGTTGCGGGATGATTTGGCCACGAAATTCCCGAGGGATACTCTTTTTAAGAGCGACCTGAAAAGTATATTGAACTTTTTTCGCTTTCAATAATACTGTATACCTTGAATCATGCAGTGTGTGGAGCTCATAATAATACGTAGCTCCCCACAAAAGAGCTATTAACACGATGGCTGGTCTAGACCTCTTGAGCCTTACCCAGCAAAAAGGAAATCTGAAACATCCACTCCCTTCGTATCTAGCTAATTAGCTATCCCAGCACCTCCTTGCGGAATGTATGATTCAATGTATTAACCTGGAATAGACCTAATCTGACTCACCTACATTCCGGGATGCACCTCGGATAACCTGGAACTGGGAATTCCGGCGGAACACGTTCCGATCTCCCCGTTAAAATTGTACGGAGTAGTTGATGCGGGTATCAGGAATCGGGGAAATATTTGAATTGTTGATTTTCTTACGAGTATACTTTATAGTTCCAAGGTTGTCTCTGTATGGATCCATGGATACAATCTCAGCCGCAGACCCTAGAAGTCATTGCCATAAAGAAGGCACCAGCCGGAGATTGTGCAACTTGGCGCGTCATTTAGCGACTGTGGCAGCTCTCCAGCGTTTGAGATTGACCAAACTATCTTGTCTCATCATTTCACCGACCATAACGGAAAACATGTCGACGACTATATTTCTAAGTGAGGCTCTTGGTAATGTTGATGCCTAATACGTTGGGTGTCAGTACGGGGGCCACGGTTATAGTGGCAGGGAATTTCCCCTATGCAACCAGTCCTCCTTACCATCCACCATTAGTATGTGCGCGAAAGATTGCCTCCCCCTTATCGATTTGGCTAGAAAGCAAAGCTCTTCTGCTATCTCTAGTGCACAAGCGGCTTTGCACCAATTTGGCGCTTTTCGACTTGTGGCCCCTCAACTTACTCGAAATCTTTCGCAGAGTGTTTTCCAAAATGCAAGGGCCTTTCTTTATGCACAGCTAGCTTTGAGGTCTGGTTCTAACGTCTGCCTGTAGGCTCGTGAGTTTTTTAAACTACCCGTCGAAGTGAAAATGAGAACAAGTGGTTACTCGGCCTTCGACACGGAACGCGTTCGTGGGAAAACACCCTTTCCCAAAGAAACCGTTTACTATACAAAGAGCGTGGATAACTATCACTATCATCCTCCCCCTTCGGGATTCCAATCTTCCGTGGAAGAGTTCCAGCATGTAAGTTGTGTCTTGGCTTTGTGACCTAGAGCTAACTCCTCCCTCGAAGGAGTGGGCCAATTTGCGTAGTCCACTATCCGGCATATTGTCTACTATCCTGGACATGACGGAGCCCTTGCTAGGCATGCCATCTCTCGACCATGAATCTCTAGGCGTCAACTTCTACGACTCTGATAAACTGGGTTGCGATAGAGTCTATTTCAGTCCAGCTCACATGGACAGTAGCATATTCACGATTTTGATCCGGGCCACAGAAGCATGCGATGGGTTGGAAATCGCCGATCTTAGTACAACGGAAAAGCTTGGTAGCGAGGGAATAGGACTGGATGCCTCATTCATTTCCGTCCCAGCGGTGCCCGATGAAGTTATCGTGATGGCAGGAACTCGCTTGCAGCGTCTTCTAGGCAAAGGCAAAGTGCGTGCATGTGTGCACAGAGTTCGCAGCCCTATGAAGACAGGCAATATGTGTATTGCAAACGAGAGACTAAGTCTTGCAATCTTCTGCGGACCACCCTTCAAATAAATTGAGCCAATTTCCCGTCTTGGATACTCAGTTTTTATGTCGATCTCCTGTTGCGTTGTCGCTGGCGGTGGTGATAGTTTGACTTTTATTGGACCTACTTGTGTGAATACTGTGATAGAGAGGAAGTTGGCTTATGTTACTACTCATGGAGGCGACGAGGGGGGTGTCTCTTATGGTGGACAGGTTGTTGTTCTTCGGCTGCGCGAGTACGTAGTGCAATGACCTGAGGTGCACATTGCTGCCTGCATAGATAGCTGTAGCTACTAGAACTATTTAAGGCTTGTAAAATTGGCGCTGAAAATGCTCTGTAGATCCAACCACCAAATACATGTGATAATTGTGCGCAACAAATTTGAATTAGAACGATGGTCTTCCGCTTTTAGTAGCCTCTCCACTAGCCTGCCTACTTCGTCTACCTCCCACCTAGTATGAGATCAATATCCGCACGAGCCAACTGGGGAATTGAAACTTCCGAAAAACAGTTTTTACTATGGATCTTCTAGATCGTTTGCAGTGGATTCATAGAAAGCACACCAGGCCCAATCACAACCTTCCCCGGGTTTTCTCCGCATACCACATACTTGAGAGATGCTCCCCTATTGGATGTCCCAAATCAAGGGTGGATGCGAATGTCACCTCGGCAAAGCTCCTTGATTTGCTCTGAAGGATTTGCTTTCCCTAGGTCGTATTTGGGGTGTTCTGTGTCATATTTAGCAAGTCGGCCGTCGATAGGGCTGTGCCTGCTACATCCCTGCTTGCAAAAGGACGCGCAATTTGGAATGTAACGATCGGGAGGCTTCTTTCGACCTATCTCTTTATCTTCTAGTCTTAGTTGCAGTGCTAGGCTTATTACAGTGATTGATTAGTAGGCCCTTCTTTTGCATGTATAATATACACTTCAAGTCTATAAGAACGGTGAAGCCCAATCCCGGCCCGTGCCGGTGATCCGGAGACGAAGTTCGGGGGTTAGGAGATTTAGGAAGATTGAGAAGGAGATCCACGGAGATCGAAGCAGAGGGGAGATTAAGGGAGATTAAGGGACTTAAGGAAGATCTATTCAGTCCGGTTTTGAATCGAAGGGGCTCCCCCACCTTGACCGCTACAGGCAAGGGCGAACCCTGGGGTACTACATTCCTCAATTCTTTGTCTCCAGACTTCTCTGATTTTTCGCTTTTTCTATTTCTTTGTGGAGTGTGGAGTGCACGAAGCGTTTACAGTCATGATCTTCATACCTAAAAGTCAGTTGAGCATGTTCGAAGGCTCCAACTGACGGACTCCAGCTTCAAGTTGACATCCTTGAATCTCTTGGAGCCTCGAAGTCTCGACTTGCCAATTCGAAGTAATACGACACCCAGAGGGATAATTGGAGAAAACTTCCATCTTTGAAACTTACCGGTCAGGCTGGCTTTTTTTCTTTGTTCTTCTTTTCTTGCCAGCGTTCTGTTTGTGCTGAATACAAAGGATGATATCAAGCCTTGACTTTACATCAGCACGACTGGTCCAGGCGCCATCCAGCAGTATCACTTAATTCTACCCCTCCTCGATCTTGTCAATTCTCACGTCACTCGTTTCGTACTTCTCTCCCTGCAAAGTCAGCATCTCCCGGTGTCATCCCAAGCTCGACTGCCCAAACGAACGTACAGGATGGAGCCAAAGCTCCCCCGAGGTCTTGTGGCCATGCCAAATGTGTTGCCTAGCGAGATCTTGGAGCGGGATACATTAAGCAACGGTGTTTACAAGAACCTTTGGCAAGGTAACGTAACATCCTACTCCTGGTCTCGTTGTGGACGGGCTCACTGACAGCAAACAGCCTACTCGACCTCGCACCAGGCTAGCAAAGATGAGACCGAACGTCGCCTAGAACATCTCTTCTGGAGGATATGGGGTGCTAAACAACTCTCCAGCCGCATGAATACTCATACGCTAGACCGTCTTATCCTACGCATCAACGCATCGGCAGTATTAGCCGGACAAAGGGTGACTGTCCTACAGTTGCCTGGAACTGGCGACAAAGAGGAAAAGGTAAACACAAGTTTGTTCTTTGTTCTACATCGCACCATATCAACCCCATATTGACGATCCATGCAAGCCCATCAATAAGAATCAGCCAAGCTACTCTGCCGTAGCCTGTTCTCCTCACTCAATATTGAAAAAGCCGCGGCCTTCACAGGTTGAAACACAAAAAGCAACTCGGTTGCTCCTTGACACTTCCGGTACAAAAATAACACTCGACCCATCCGACTCTCCAACCGCAGACATGGCTGCTGAGCCCACCCCAAGTCCAGGTAATGTGGGCCATCAGCGTCGCAAGAAGACCTCGATGGATGCAGAGTCCCCACTCGTGCCAGAGAAGGTTGGAAACCAGGGTTCCAGGAAGATATCCGTTTCTACCGAGTCCACCGCCATTCCAGAGAACGTGGGCCAGCAAGGTCCCAAGAAGACCTACCTTAGTGCGACACGCACTGGGCGAGGGCCACGCCGCCGTCCAGTCTTCAACCGCCGCAAGTCCTCACAGACATCCATCCCGAAAGCTGTACCTCCCACACGCCGGCGCTCGGAGCCCACCACCAAGGCCGATGGAGCCGACACCCTCTACGAAGACAGCTACGTTGAGCTGGGTCTATTGCAGCACCTCAGCTTCCGCGACGAGGAGGACCAAATCGCGCGTGATCTGGGGCATGAAATTGCGCCTGAGCCGAAGCCGGTCAAGCCGTTTATTCCACGATTCGACGATGAGTTCCTCGGCGAGTCGACCGCCATCGAGGTCGCGAAAGCAGCACCAAAGACGTCTCCTCGTCCATTTCCCCGAGCCTCTTCCCTCCGGCACCCGATGTTGAGCCCTGAGGACTTCTGCAAGATTACCCCGTCGTTTGCCGTTATGGAGGGCCATCTCGACATGCCTGGTGGGCCGCAGCTTGCTGCCCCTGATGATGTTGAGGGGGACTGGACGGATATCGATGCTCTTGATTCGACACTTCCTGTTCTGCAGCCTTTCAAGAAATTGGTCTCGCACCATGAGAATGTTGACCAAGAACTTCCGGCTGTACGACCCGCCGTTGTCCCCGTCGTCGAAGAGGCTTCGTTGCTGTCATCTGCGATGAAGGGAGTGAGATTGTGATATCTCACCACTGAGAGACAGAGTCTCGACCTAGAGGCTCAAAATTCCTGGGTAAGGCACATCGGTTTCAGCTATGACTTCGGCGGCTCTCAACATACTGTACATTACCATGCCTCAGAGCATGCTGACCTGAAGGTCGTGGAAATACCGGACGCTTGAAGGTTAGCTTCACAGCAGATGCAGTTTACTATGGACAGGGAGGTGGCATTCGTCCATTGTATCGAAATTGATTGCCTGAGAATCGAATACAAGAAGCATTAATATGCATGATATCCAAGTGACTTCTTAGAAGTTATTCTGCGTATGCTAGTATTTGCACAGTAAACGGCATCAGTCTCTACGGATGAGACTAGATTCAAACCGCAGTCACCGAGCTGTGTCTACGGACAGGTGTCTCAAAACGAATCTCCATTTTTTGTATTGGAAGAACGCCATGCATGAAAACAGGCAAAAGCACTATACACCATGACTCCCGAGCCCGCCGTATCAGATACAAAAAGAACAAACGAATGCAAATGTGATTCACCCCCTTTTTCCATCCGATGCCATCAAGGCATCTATCCATAACCCTAGTAAGCCCACTATCAAAGCGAGCATCCACACCCTCAAAAACCTCCTAAATCTGCCCACCCTTCTCAGCATCAAACCCACTAGCGACAGCCAATCTGCGACTCTTCAACCAGCGCACCAAAACCCAAGAAGCAGTCATAACCCAGAACGCCAAGTTAATAACATCAACATAGACAGCATGACGCATACGATTAATCTTCGACGCATCACCAAGCGCCGAAGTAGCATCATCCGCCTTATCACCCTTCTCCACAAGATGAACACCAATATACATCTTCCCAAAGATCCCAAAGAGCGTCAACCATAGTACGGTAACAACAAACTCCCACACAAACTGCGGCAGCAGCAGCACGGGGCCCGCTCCAGCGCCGGGCTTAGCTTTGCGCATCACGAACGGCAGGATAAGATGCATGGCTGCTGTGACGGTTGCTAGGAAGGCTGTGACGAGCGCATACACCCATTTCGAGTGCCAGACGTGTTTCTCGGAGTGGTCGTGGTGCACGTCTTTGCCGTACAGGCCGATGACGGTTAGGCCGAAGACGAATTGGAGGAAGCGGAGCCCGGAGAAGAACATGAAGGTTAGTTTGGCGCCTTTGCTTTGTTCGGGCGGGTCGAAGTGGATGGTTGTGCCGGGCGTGGCGCCCACTGGATACCCGCTCATTGCGTGTTGCTCGGTGTAGTCTGGTGGGTAGACGCCGGCGTTTTGGGCGTTTTGGTATTTTTGGAGATCTTTCTTGGCCTTGTGTTTTTTGGCTTGGGACCAGCCCAGTTTCAGGAGTGGGACTGCTAGGAAAGACATTTGAAAATGTGTTTCTCTTTGATTTGGTGATGTGGTGATGTTGTGGGAAGTTGGAAGGTGCGGATGAAAAGGCGCACAGCGCAGAGATTAGAGGGGTAAAGAAATGTGAATTCGAATGAGACGTTCCAAGATTTGGCAGACCAGATGCCAAATAAGAGAAATGAAGCTATTGTATTGTATAGGTATGAGGACAAAGAGAAAACCCTGTATCAAAAGATATAATAGAAATAGAACAAAAGAAGAATGAGAATATAATGAAAGACGAGTCTGCTTTCATCAATAGCATAGCGGGGGCTCTGTTCTTTATAGCCAGCCCTATTCTATTGAGAATCTGATTTCAAGACGAAGCCCAATGTTGCTATTTTTGAGCATCTGCAGTCCGAAAGATGAAACGTATCTACTTTGAGCGCGCGGCTCTGTTTCTCAACTATGTATCCTCGCCTTTCATCCAAAGATAATCAGTCGGGGATAAAAAGATGAAACAGATGGATCAAAATAGAATACCGAGAACCCCTGGAATCAAAAGCTAACACAAAGCTAGCAAGCTTGGTCTTGCAGAACTAAGAATCCCGGCATCTTAGTGGGAGCTTCAGTTCGCGCGCGCCAACTCGGGTTTGAGATGGTTTCAAGTGTTGATGTCCAATCAAAATACTTGCTCTATTTTTGGTATAATTTTAAAATACACATGTGCATGCTACAAGGACATTGGATCATTTCACATCTGATTCAGTACATATCATGGACATTACAATTACAAAGAATACGGGACTCCAACAAGGGACTTTGTCCGATGAGTTGCTCGCCATAACATCCTTGAGAGGGGATTCCTTCCAACAATCCGAGAACACCCCTCAAAAATACCCGAACACCCTGTCAACCCCGAGAAAAAAGAACAAATGCAATGATGAAATGCAAACAGTTATGGGAACGCGGGAGGTCGACTACGCCGGCCGACTTGCTCCGGAATCTGCAGAACCCTTGATGCCTTGAGCAGACGCCGCAATCTTCGCATGGTTTCCAGTGGGCAGTGGAGGTTTGAGGTCGCTAGGTGACGCAGGGGCGGAGGGTGGAATCGGCAAATTTTCATCATCATCGTACTCATGTCCTTGGTATTCATCATCGGGAAGACCTGATCCGGCGGAGGAGTGGTCAGCCGAAGCGCGGTCGTATCCCTGCTGGTAAGGCTGTGAGCCATTCTTTGATGCGTTCTTCGTCGCCTTCTTGGTCTTGCGACCCTTCATCTTGGCCTTCTCCAAAAGTCGCTTCTTCTCCGCCAATCGCTTGCGCTCTTTGCGGTCTTTCATTTCATACTGTCGGATTAGCGCTTCAGGCGGATGCCCAAAGATGCTCTCGTATTCACAGAATTCACAAATCCAGATGTCCTCGAGACTCGGGGGATGGTGGAAGTTCGTGTATTGTTGCTGGATCTTGCGTTGACGTGCAGACAGTGCGTATGTGGTGCTTGGAGATCGTTTCTTCTTGGGGCCCACGGGAGTTGGCTCCCCACCTTGAGCGGGTGCTTGCGTACTGGGTGGGGCCTGGTGGTTCACGGGGCTACTCTGTGTCCGTTGTGTGGAGGGGCCCCTCTGATTTTGGTTCGCCGGACCAAGTGGTGAAGTGGGGGATCGATAAGGGATTGAATAATTTCGCTGCATCGCCATGCCCTTGGACGAGTCGGACTCACACGTGAAGGTGAACTGTGTCTTCGTTGGAGTGGTATTTTCTTTCTCTTTCTCCAACAGGCTGACGTTGCTGGGACCTCGAGGTGGGGATGAGAGTGTTGCGGCATTGGCGATCGCGGTGGAGATAATTCCCTGGTCAGAAGCAGATTCACCTGGGGCAGAGGTTAGAACAAACAGTGTACTGCGAGAATGGAGGGAAAATGCATACCAGAAGGGCCAGGGGATGACATCAACCCGTCCCGTCGACTGGGCGTCCGGGTATTCATCCATCCATGTTGGGCATTGGGCGACAACGGGTTCCTGCTGCTGCTACGAACAGTAGGACGTCCCAACCGACCTCTACCTGAACCAGATATCCCATTTCCTAGAGGAGACGCAGGGTTTCCACTCCCATAATATGTGCCAGTGGCATCAGGCGGGGTAGCAACCCGTACGGGGGTTGAGTTTACCAACCCCATACTGGCGAACTCCGGAGACAAGGCAGAATGGTGTCCTCCCAAGTTTCCGGGTGTAGGTATCTTTCGCTTTTTCTTGTTATTCGTATTCTCAAACGCGTCGTAACCGTCCCCGGTTGAAGATTTTGTCTGAGGTGTGTCGTGAGGGAAGCTATGTGGATTGCCAGACACGGGAGGTGACAGCGAAGATCTCCGGATGACACCACTCCTCCGAACGACCATCGGACCGCCTTCATCACCGCTCTCCAAGTCTACTGACGTCTCAAATTCATGGTTGCCAACCTCCGGTGACAATTCAGTCTCCACGGTCTGCTGCACATAAACTTTAGATTCATTCACCGCTTCTTCAGAATCTGCAGAGACACCATAGAATATTTGAGACGCCGGCGGTGTAGGAGGATAGAATAGAGTGTCGGCAGCATCAGAAGAAAGGCGTGAACGAAGGGTCCGTCGAGGTAGAGGACGGATCAGACGATCAGGGTAGATGGTAGAGGGTGTATCAGGGGACGAATTGAACACCCCGTCTACATAGCATCGTCAGTATTCAGTCAACTAGTTCATTGTTATCCTGAATTGGGGAATTCCCGATCATCCGGACCAGATGTCCCTGAGCAGACGTACTCAATGTAGCGGTCATCATGTAAGATATCCACGCTCGCCATCAACCGCCGACGATGCTATAAGGATGATATTCCAGCCCTTTGGCTCTGTCCTTTTATCCCCCGCCACCGTATTTGCTCTCGAAAGTGCCAAAATTCAAAGTCGGGGGGTGGTGTTGAGTGTCGAATTGGGAGGTAAGGTCTTCAATGTCTGTGGTCCACGATCATGAGCTTTTTTTCCCTTCAACAACAACTCCCGAGAAGTGTATAGGCGGTGAGGTCAACATGTAACTGGGACTCGATCCAATCCCCGCGTTCCTCTTGCTGTCCACAATCCCGGAGACACGAATATCAACCTACCCATAAAATAGTGATATTACTCAGCACTTTGTAAATTCAAGATCGGTAGGGCAGGATCCAAGGTCAGAAGTGCAGCAAACTGGAACCCAGATTCAGTGCTTGAGAGAAGGCAAATGGACAACTAGAATAACTACTAAGAGGGGTTCGGAATATGAAGAGAAAGAGCCAAGTCACGGGAATTTAGAAAGCACGCTAATCTCCTTTTGGTAATCGTACCCAATGACTTCGGGGAGAAATGGCATTACCTACATGTACATGGGTATACGACTCTGAAGAACTACTACGCAGACCAGACACCTGGGATACACATGTTTGGCGTTATATACTAGGTACCATCATGTACTATCATCGGCCTTCATAACACCATTGCACTGACAGTTTCTCTACTTGGGAGAAAAGAAAATTCCAGCTCTCCGATCATCTCGCAGACAGGTACTCCCGGTGCCTGCATTCACAGGGAATTCGGCATCTAAGAGCTGGTGCGAGGGATTGATTTAATGCTGGCCATGAAATTGCTGATCACACCACGAACGATAGCCCTAACTCACGCAACGAACCTCGATCGCGTGTGATTGGACCTGTTGTGACCCCTCCGGAAGGCTTTGCCCAAACGCTCATTTCGCCTCTCCAACAACCAATGCACCCTGGAGCACGTTCGGAGGGATAACTACATCATCTAGATGCTGGGAGGAATCGATGTCATAAATTTCAACACGCAACTAGACGAAAGTTGTCTTGCCGACGCCAAAAATGGGTTCGGCTCAGAATAACAGACACCTGGTACGAAGAATGGTCCAAACATACAGACCTTCAGAGAATAGGAATCATGGGATCGGTCATTCCTATTGTTCCTATTCCTGCAGCGTAGGAATATGCAAGGTCAATTTTTGCAGCTTAAGCCTCCCAAGGCCATTAAATGTGTTGGACCTTTCATGGCCTCTCTATGTTATTTCTACTGGGACACATCGCATCAGTTTTCTAAAGGAGGACGCCGGCAGCCCTATAAAGTATTGCACGTTATGCCTTGTTCCCTGGCCAGATCTCTTCCCCTTGCAGGCTCTCATTGTTTTATTGTGTTGTGCTAGTGAAAAGTACAAACCCCAATTAAGGGGCCACAAAGCCATTGTACATTGTAAATATACCATTGAAGGAATAGCAAAATGTATATAAAAGCCAGCAACAAATTCGTCTATAGGCAGGGAGGGGAAAAGAAAGTGAAACACGAAGAGCATGAGTGGTAAAAGATTCGCGCGTCGAAAGGCGTCGAGAGCGGGGAAACCGGCGATTGGATCTTTTGGAGTCCCGTTCCGGCGCTTTTCTCCTTCTCTTCTTCCTCCCCGCCATTACAAGGAATCGTTTCTCGGACTATGTAGTCATCGGGCTCTTCATCGAGCCTTGTGACGCCTTTATACAGATCTGCGATTTCCAATTGTCCTGCTCCTTTTCACTTGACTCTGCACCATTCCCAAGAGCTCTCAATCGCGCGCGAGAGCTCCCTCGCAAACGGCTTTTCTCGAGTTACTGCTGGAACCACACCAGCCAGCTCTCGAAAACCAGTTGATTTTTCCTAATCTGCTCTTGAGCACTCTCTTTTATACTCTCTCAAAATCCTCAGCCCTCCCCCACCATGACTCCTCGTCGTTCCTCTCGGGCTCGCACCTCCCAGCCCTCTCCTGCCCTCCCACAACACACCAACTCTTCCTCCAGCTCCTCAAATTCTCATACTCGAGAGAGAAGCACTCGATCAAATCATAAAAATCCTTCTCCTCACGAATCGACCGGTCACCGCTCTCAGTCCATCGATGATGCTGAGGGTGGCTCGAAAGACCTCCCACATACGCGGCAGCGCCAGCGCGCTCACGACGACGACGATGATCCACCCCGTGAAGAAGACGAGTATGACCTAGATGACGAGGAGGAGGAGGTGACTCGATGTCTCTGCGGTCAGCAAGAATATCCGGGCTTGCCTGCTTCTCGTCGCGAGGCCCTCGGTCGCGGCACTATCAAGCTGGAGTCGGGACAAGTCCCCACTGATCCATCTGATCCTCTGTCAGAGGAGATCGGGAGCATGTTCATCCAGTGTGACTCGTGTAAAGTCTGGCAACATGGTGGTTGTGTCGGAATCATGGACGAGGCGACGAGTCCTGACGAATATTTCTGCGAGGAGTGCCGGAAGGACTTGCACCAGATCAAAGACGAACCTCATGGGTGAGTGAAACCCCGTTATTCTTTGAATATACTCGGCCCTACATATTCCTGCATCCGCCGTCAATTTTACGTTTCGGTGGTTGTGCTTTGCTTTTGCTGCTTGGAGGGGCTGTTGTTCTGACGCAGCTTCGGGAACAATTACTCCCCCAAGCAGTTATAACATACAATTTACTACTCCATATTGCTATACCGAACATCTTGAAGACGCATACTGACAGTCCTGCAGACAACGCTCCTCTACCTACCTTCCTGTTGCACCAGAACCAGTTCCGCCGCCACCACCACCTCCTCCTCCGGCCCCAGCTCCGGCCCCAGTGCCCGAGGTACCTGAGGCGCCAGCGGTGCCAGTCGGCCCAGTGGGCTCTGCGGTTGCCCCGTCCCCCGGTCCGTCTTCTCGTGCCTCCTCGAGAGATGTATCACGGCGTTCCAGGGATCCCAAGTCCCGGAACAACGAGAGTGCCGCCGCGCACGCCAAGCGGCGATCAACAATGAACAGCCGGGATGCTGCTTACGACGAAGAGGAATTGATCCGACGCGCAATTGAGGAGAGCAAGGCCGAGACCAAAAGCAATGCGGATGAGACAGACACCCATCTGGGCAAGCGCAGTCGAAGTGACAGTGTGACGTGCGTATTGCCAGGCTGAACAACATTGACTCGGATAAGGTGGCTAACCAGTTACCCAGGAACAGAGAACGAGCGAAACGTCCGCGAACTGCTTCACCATCACCTAGCGCTATCTCGAGACATAGCAATATAGCATCTCACCCGCCCTCTGATGATGAGACGAAACCAAAACCACCCGTGAACGGGACTCGCAGACAAAGAACTGCGTCTCGAGGCCAGCTTGAGAGGGAGCCTGGGAACGACCTCGATGAGGGCGAGACAGAGGCTCCTGAAGCGGCCAATCGTCGGAAAGAACGATCAAGCCGGCGCAAAGGAGATGGTAAGTGACACAACCGCAGTGCGCAGTTGTCCATTTTCTCACACGGCTATAACAGAATCCGAGCATGAAATCGGTTCCCCAACCAAGACAGCACCGCCAGAGCCTGACCCGTCCCAAGCGAGCCCTAACACGCCTACTCCCCAAGAGCCCACACCTGTTCGACCCTCAACACGCAAGTCCGGTCGACCTCCCGCTCGTCGTGGTCGTGTTGGACGAAACCAATATACGAAAGACCGGGACACCAATGGAAATGGAGATGCCGGATATATGGCGAACTCGCCGCGCCGTGGCCAGTCCCATGAAATCGGTGGAGACTCCCCTCGAGTTGGCTACAGCGGTGCCAACGGAGCACACATCAATGGTGGAGAGTCAGGACGCCCGAGCAAGCCACGCCACATGCACCCACAGCGAACAACGATGAACGAGATGAAGCGCCGAGTAGCAGCCATCCTGGAGTTCATCTCGCGCATGCAAGTGGAGATGGCCGTTGCTAGTGAAAACTCCTCCACGCCTACGGGCAACGGTGACCGGTCCCAGGGTCTGCTTTTGAAGAGCATGGTCGATCAGATCGACAGCGCCATGCCATCCACGCGCAGTGACGGCGGTGAGTCCGGCCCTGCAACCACAGACGGCGGCTTCGGCGAGTCGTCGACAAACCATGAAAAGGATTTCACGGAGCTCAGCAGCGTTGAGATGATGGATGTGCTCACTCGCCATCTTCTTAAATGGCAGCAGGAGTACGGCAAGTTTGGAGAACGGTAGTCTCCGCCACTACCACACTGCTGGGTTCCCTCTTTCTCGCTCTATCTCATCTTTTGAGCTTATCCGCTGCTTCGCATCACGATACCCATCTTAACTTGCGTTTCTCGTCATATCGATGTACACTAGACCTCCTCTCAGTTGCTTTTTCTTTCCTCTTCTCTTTTTGCCTTCTCCTTGTCCTTCCATACTGGTCCGGCGTCATGATTATACTGGGAAACAATGATGGTATCGATCTATTGGCGCCTCATCGTCCTGCTTGGTTCCAAAGTTTTATTGCCCATGGTATTTTTCTGTCTGTTAATTTGTGATACATGCTTTGCTATGACTATTGGGTCTTGCTGTTTGGTATGGTCAGCCTTCTAACAAGTCATCTTGCTGTCTGGCTTTTACTTATGTCTTTCATTATTTTGGTGCCCGGGTTTCATTTCTGGTGTTTGGGGGGAAAGTGAGGGCCTATATATGCCTGTTTGTTTGTTTGTAAGAGATCTTCTTTTCTAGTGAGAATAGTATCACTGCTCTTTTGTCCATTACAGATATTCAAGGTATTAGGGTCGGGGGGGTGTCCCTCGCCCAGCATGGAATATATTATACATGGATAACTTGTCTATGGGAGAAGACACTACTTCATAGCTGAATAGCAGAAGAATCAATGTACTAAAAGCGCCATGGCACTCCCGAGGTCACTCGTGGGCAGCTTACTTGACCTGTTGATAGGCTTTGGCGAATAACCCTTGAATATGAACAATTCGTGTCTTGGTATGTTGCACTTTGCATCAAGCATAAGACCGAACCGCCGACTATATTTAGAATCAAAATGCAGCTTGATTACCTTCCCACTGCCTTGCATATTGCATACTTACAATAGACTCGGAACTGGGTATCAATTATGTATTTTAAGAGCTTATTTCGGGTTCTGTAATTGACGAACTGGTATCGACGCTGACGATCCTGCGAGACGGTATACCGAGTCTAGATTTTCAGAGAAGTCTTTCTTTAGCCAGCGAATAAATTTGATTACAGCAGTTTAGTATGAACTGGAACTTAAACGGGTTTCTCATTTCTTATAGGGATATCTGGATAGAACGTCTCGAGTTGAGCTCTAACGAGTAGCCGGCCTAGGGCCACCTACAATCATAAAGAAACTGAGTTGATAGTCTAGTATACACAATTCAAACATTCCTCCTGTCTTCTACCTTTCACGGTTTTGCCAGCATCCATAAAACCCTGATAATAGCAGAAACAGACATCAAATGTGACAATGACCTTGTCGGCGCGAAACCGACAACATATGAAGGGTAGAAAACGAAGACTTTCAACAACACATGGAGACCCAAGAGATTCAATATTTGCTGATCACCAGGCGCCAGTACTTGAGCGAGACATGCCCCGGCCGCAAATAACGGGAAATTTTCAATCAGGGAATGATGGGCCGACATGAGACGCAGTGGGAGGCCCTCCATATTCCCGCGATGCTTCCGAGGGTGATCGTTATCGAGACCGTGTGGTCTGGACATGGCTTGCCCGGCAACGGACAAAGAGCCGCTGCCGGCAAAAGTCCAAAATGCATATAGGACAGCAAGCGCGGGGATTGCACGATCAGACCAAACATCGCTGCCAACCGTGTAGCCAATAACAGTCTTGACGAGATTTTGGACTGTGCTTTCGGGTTTTGTAATCGCGGCTGCTACGGGTGCGAGTGCCTTTTCTTGTTAGTATGTGTAACTACATCCAATCATGAGACGTACTCACTAGGTATGCCGGTCCAGTCGCCGCGAGGAAGATACCGGATGGGTTGTTTCTAGACTCCCAGAACCAGGGCCTGTCTTAGTATATGTAGTTGTAGGTGACAAATGGGAATATGAGGACTTGCATGCCGTTGGACATAATGTCTCGAAGAATGATATAGAGCTGGTAATGTTGGATGGATGAATTATGAGACGCATAAATGTCGTTGACGGCGGAGGTGGCTGAATTTTATACAACTCGTCCTAGAACCTATTACCAATGGCGTATATAAGATCGTCCGTCGGCTTTTCCCCAGCCGAGGAACTTTAGCATGATGTCTGATGCGGGGTCCATGGTCAAGCCGAAGGTTCGAGTCATCAATTCCGACTACAAGAGCGTTAAAGCTGTCACAAATGCGCCATAGAAGGGAGATGTGCTGATACTGACGTGGCAACCAGCTAAAGTCATGGAATGCGTGAACGGTATAATTCGATAATTTAGACTTATGCCATGAAAATAAATAAGCCTTATAAGTGATCGCTGTATGCTCCATGGAGGTACAAGATGCAATATCCCGGAACCATCCCGGGGACTTCGGGCCATCCAACTTCTCAAAGAGGATACAACATACCTAGTTTCCGTTGCGCAAAGCAGATTGTCACTCGCTTCTTGATTCAAACAATATCTCAGTAAATAAGGGATACCAAAAAGAACTACGTATAACATTGTCGCATCGTAAAAACCATATATGTAGACACTATATCGCCAGAAATCCAACACCAGAGATTTTCAATATCAAGACTTCCATTGTCACACCGCGCATGGTACAAAGTACTTTGAAGACAAAGTCTCGCACAAGGCCATGCATCGAGCGCAACAAACCGGAAAGTTCGTTACTCTTGTCTCTTGGTACGGTCCATTGGATCCCAGAAATTGCGAAGCAACCCACCACATCGACTCGCTACATGGCTGCTGAATGAAGAAATACATCGCAGACTTCTCGCATGCCAATTACTGCGTTTATACGCCTCGCACCTTTGTAATACTGTAATATCGGCTCTACTATTACACCAATCTCCTCGGATCTCCTAGCTGCCAATAGAAAGCATCAAATCCTAAGATAATCCCACTCTGTATGTAAGTGTACTGGCTCAGTTGACCCCGGAAAGAGGTATGCTGATCCTATACTCCATACTCGGCACGGAGTACCCGTAGGGATCTGAGAGAACCACAATAATACAAGAGGAAGAACGGTGGAGCCGCTGTACAACCAGCGTTTCAGGGAATGGAACAACTGGAAATATAAATATGTCGTACGAAATTGCTAGGCTCGACTGTTGAAGAAAGTACTGTGTGCTCCGCAGGGTCTCTTATTCTTGGGCTCCAAACTGAAAAGCCATGAGGTTTATCAATGTACTCCATACGGAGTACGGAGCAATCTGTATGGAACTCCTCCACTTATATTGGAGACCATAGGGTTGTACCATGGTACGGAGTACTCCGTGCACCTCGGAAAAGGGGCCAGCTTGGAGATACAGAATCAAGACCACCACTCTATTGGACGAGATCCAATGGCGATGTGACTCGAGTCAAAACACGCGTCTGGCAATCATGCTCTTCAGTCTCATCATGGAGGAAACAAAAGTACGAGAATTACCGTAATTTGAAACACATTTCCCAGCCTCTTTGGCGGTAAGAAGGTCTAGACATGAGCTGCATGCGTTGGCTGGCGCCTCACAGTGGTTGGGCCGGGGCTGGGGACCCAAAAGAGGGTCTAATGATCTCGATAAGTCACTTCCAGTGGAGAAGGTGCGTTGGGCGGTATTGGTATTGGTATCGATGTCCCGTATCTCGTAACGTGTTGTGAATTGAATAATGTCAGATATGGGCCAATGGCTGCCTAGCGAACCCGCAGTGGCAGAATCAAAACAAAAGGATGTTTCTTAAGCCGAGGGAATCACTCCGTACAGTGAACGTGTCTCCGCAACCTCCATGCAATTGTGCCGATGTGATGGAGCCAAACAAGATCGGCGCCAAGGGGATCCAGATGTCCGATTCGACCCGGAGGTTGCCATGGCGATGGAGTCGGTGGCGCGGTGATAATACGCGCAGGCTGGCCAGCCCCCCATGTGAAAGGGCCCGATGTGTACGGAGTATTGCAGCTCGGTATCCATCAATGGAGATGCAGTCCTGGAGGGTTTAGAGCGATTGACTAAAGCAAGAATGAGATTTCACTTGTTAGACACATTGTGTAATTCTAATTGGACAATTCAAATACAGTAGAGAGACAGTAAGGAGAAGAGCGAGCCTCGGTGATCAGCGGAGAACCCAAACCGGCAAGGCGGCGTAAACAAATGGGCTGGCATAAATAATCGTAATGCTCGCCAACAGCGCCGGTCTCTTTCTTCTTCTTCTTCCATTCCTACGATCTGACATTCCTCGTCTCTTAAGCTTATCTTTCCCCCTCCATTCCAATCATCTCTTGCAGGATAAAAAGATCTTCTCTTTTTCTCCTCCCCCCACCTCGAGAAAGACTTCCCTTTAAAGTCTTTTCTTGTTTAGTCTTTCGAGTTGTTTAACGACAGTTCGAAAGGCATTCGAGAAAAGACGCTAAAAGTCCGTCAATCTGGACTTTGACGCCCGTGTTCCCATCCCCTTCAGTGTCTTCCCGTCGTCGTACCGGAGTGACGCTGTCTCTGAAACTACTCAGACGAGAGTAGAGGGAGAAGTCAATTTCGATCGTACTTCGCGCGTCGAACGGGAAGATACTCGAGGTTCTGCTCCCCTTCCCGCTCCTGTTCAAGGAAAGCAAGAAGTCGAATTCCGTGTTCAAGAAGAGCACCCTCAGTACGCGCAGCAACCGCAGCAGTACTCGCAGTCGCACTCGCAGTCGTACCAGCAGTCTCACCAGCCTTCGCACAACTACGCCCCTGAAGTTGAGCTTACTCGTGAACGGTACGTAATTGTTTTTCCTGGTATTCGTTTTAATTTGTTTTTTTGCCCCCCAACCTCCAGAGATCCACTTGTGAAAGTGGAGACCTGCAGCTGAACTATCATTATTTGTTGTGAGATCTCCTATCTTGGTTTAGAGTGATTACGGATTTGGTCGGGGACTAAAATTACGTGTCATCAAAACCTGATCCACTTCAATTAGCGGTGACTGGCTTGTTTTGTTTATATGTTTATGGTACCCGTGCATGTGGGCTGACCTTTCCCAGCTACCCCAGTTACCAACAACCTTCCGTCGACTACGAGGACCGTACTCAAGTCTACGATAAAGTCGTCGAGAACCAACTCGACATCACTGAGAGAGACTACCGTCAACGTACCTCTCCTTCCTACGACCTCGACGTCTCTTACGACCGTCGTTATCGTCAGCCCGTAGACTCCGCCTACGGTTACCAATCCCAGTCCGTCGACGTCTCGCACGACCGGGCCTACCAGTCTCAGACCGACTCTTACAAGGAAGACGACGTCTACCTTCGTGAAGTTCAGCCCCGTGCTCGTTACTCCACCCCGACCCAAGTAAACGTCTCTCAGTCTACTACCCGTGACATCGCCCCCACTCGCAAAATGGGTTACTACGACGACGAAGGCCAGTACCACTCTTTCCGCCGCGGAGTTGAGCGTGCTGCCGACCGTGTCCTGCACCCCTTCTCCCACTCCGAGCATGAGGAGTCTCACGCCGGTGAGGTCGCTGCTCCCCGTGAGAACGTCCGCATCGTCGAGCCCCGCAACCGCGGCACCGCTGGCGAGACTGTTCCCATCCCCTGCCACTTCATCCGCGTCGGCGACATCCTGATCCTCCAGGGCCGCCCTTGCCAGGTGATCCGCATCTCGGTCTCCCCCCAGACTGGCCAGCACCGTTACCTCGGTGTCGACCTTTTCACCCGCAAGCTGCAGGAGGAGTCCAGCTTCGTCGCCCACCCCTCTCCCTCCGTGGTTGTCCAGACCATGCTCGGCCCTGTCTTCAAGACCTACCGCATCCTGGACCTCCGTGATGACAACCGCCTCGTCGCCATGACCGAGTCCGGCGATGTCAAGCAGGGTCTTCCCGTCATCACCCAGGGCCACCTCTTCAAGCGCATCAGCGATGCCTTCGCTGACGGCCGTGGCTCCGTCCGTGCCCTCGTCATCAACGACGGTGGCCGTGAGCTCGTCGTCGACTACAAGGTCATCCACGGCTCCCGTCTGTAAATTGTTTTTCCTGGGTTTCTCCTAGAGGGGGTCTGGATACGTTTGTCCCTCATCCATATGGTGTGATGAATAGTTATTAGTTTTCTTTTCCTTTTGCTTGTGTGATTTAATTTTCTTTTGTATGATGATCTCATGTATGCAACTCTTTGTGTATTGGTAAAAACTTGAATGGATTTATCTGTACTCAATTAGCCTTGACTTCCTTGTAACTAGCTCATAATACAAAAACCAGGGCCATGTCTACACTTGCTCCGTTTGTTTACTTTTCTCGCTCATATTGACTTAGGCAGAAACCCATCTGGCATATATATTATTTGCTTGGCGAGGAACAAGTTTTTCATAGCCTTTGCCTTAGCTTGAAGATAAATATGTTGATACTATTTTCTGTCACCGTCAAAATATAGTTGCCATAGATCCCCGGATACATATTTCACAACGATGGTAGGCCTCGCGTGCCTCCAGACACGGCTTTCCGTTTCGATGACCTGCCAAGTTCCAAGGTTATCTCAAATTCTCTGTAGATGCCCAGTGTCGTTTAAAATGTAAAGTGAGCACTTGTGAATTTTCCCTTTCGGTTAGCTCTGCCCTTTTTGACGTGGTCGAGCCTGCGCGACTGTTGGGGCCATCCTCCTACATTTTTGGCGGGATTCTAACACTGCCGATAATTGACTATAATTCATGGAAGTCTAGTTAGGTGCTTATTACCCGCCCATTATTCTCTGTTTACCCATTCGACCAAAAGCGGGTCGGAACAGTCGTTGGGGAATCTGTCTTGTTGGTTTGTTCTGTCTCTAGATGTGGTGGGCTCATAGGACCATAGGACCGCGACGATAGATAACATTGAATTCAAGAGCAAGTTGCTTCACTCGTTAGCCAAGAGTCTTGTAGGAGCTCTTTGGCAGTCTCTCCTCAGGTATCCAGGTCATTGCTCTTCGGATGAATCGGAGAAAGCCTGTCCTGTTCTCCAACCGTGTCTCAAGAGCTTCCATTGTCCGGTTGCATGGTATGGGTGCAAGACCCAGCCATTTTCCTGTAACAGCAATGGTAAATATTGATAGCAAAAAGCAACAGCTTACTGCTGGCCTTTCTCCTTATTTACTCCATTACAGGAGTAACGTACCTTGCTCGTCCCAAAAATCGGCTTTCCTCTCTGGATTCCTGACTAGGAACTCAGGAGGCGGCGGTCCTAGCGCGGCAATGAGTTGGGCTAAGTGAGCGGCGTCATAATGATCTCCATCCTCATCACGTGCTGTAAAGAGTTTCTTCGACTCTAGAAGGTCCCAGGCCTGTGTCAATGTATTAGCCTGGGGTGAACAGGGCTAGATTTATGAATATCAACGATTATATGATGACATACTGTAAGGCAAACGCTCCAAATATCAACAGGATAGCTCCACCCCACATAATGCAGTGTTTCCGGAGCTCGATATTCCAGAGGCACTATATCGCCCACCGTGTGGTCCTGGTCCGATCCTAGCCTCGCCAAAATCTGATAGAAGCATCGGGCCTTCTTTAGGTCGCATGAGATGCGAGAGATAAATAAGCCGCATCGGCGAGACCAGCTTGCGAGGCACTGGAGATGATAATTCCTTTTCCTCAAAAGGTTTTAGCAGATCATTGTCGTCGACGCCAGGGAGTAGGTTTCCAGGGTGGAAATCTGTAACACATCAGCAGACAAACAAGTAAAGGAATAGGGTAGATGAAAGGGCAGTACCTGTATGTACAACTTCTCCATGGGTATGAAGGAAATCCAATGCTTTAAGAAGCTCAATAATAGTACCTCTGACGAAGTCTTCGTCGAACCCACCCGGTCGAAAGACCAACTTCAAGTCACGCAAGCTGATCTGCGCAGCTTCGAAGACAAGAACAATATGTTTTCCTTGCGGACCAGTAACTTCAAAGGAATCCAACAACCTTCGGATATTACCTCGTCCTCGGTGTGAACTTTTTGCCATACAGCGAGCGATGTGATGATAAAAAGGAAGTTCGCGGTGAACAATCGAAGTATGAACATACAACTTCAGCCTAACATACTGATGTTCTCTGCACGCATTAGCTGAGGACCAAAGTTAATATACAGGCACTCACTTCAGATCCCTAGCCAGCCAAATAGTCGACGAAGCACCGAATCCGAGCTTTGCGATTATTTGATAGCGATTTGGAAAACCTCTCCTAGTCGAGCTGGATAGAATCGGTCAACCTGATAATCAGGCAATTCCTCCTCCTCGACTGTCTGATTGAGCTCGATGGTTTTAAAACCTGTCGTAGGAAGCGTTCGAGCCTTTCCGAGAGGACCTCCCGCCGTTGGTCTACCACCCGACCTGGTTGAGAATGACTTCAATGAAGAGGTGACTGCAGTCCATAGAGGAGGCATGCTCAGTTTCTGGGCAAAAGCGGCGTGAATACACACTCTGGCGCGCGTATTGTTTGACCGTAAGCCAATTGCAAGAGTAGATGCTTGACTAAAGAAGGATAGCATCGTTGAGGTAGGTGAGTAGGCTGTGCCGGACCACATTTACTGGTGTTGTAGAACGCGTCGCGAATCCCTCATCCCTGATTTACCCGCGCGCCTCAAAGACGGGTTCACCACGTCCTTCAGTAATTGTCCAGGTCCCTAGTTATAATGTCGTTCACAATTGAAGGTCTGTAGTTATTCATAACGCCAGTTTCTTGGCGTACCATAGCAGGTTCCCCTTGTCAGCGGGCTCAGCCATCCACCAGTTGCTCTAACACCATATGATTTGCTTCGAGACCACAATCCCATCGAAACAATAAGAAAATTAACAAGAACACATAAAGAGTATTCCAGTGTTCTTTTGCTTCCAAGATTGGAAACTTAAATGGATGGATTGGAATCTTGGAACGCTTGAAGGTTAGTGGGAAGTTGTAAGAATCATTTGTCTCCGATCTTTTTCTTCTTCAACCTTTGGTTTTCTCTACTTCCCACAACTCATTATCTTCCTCTCATAGCTTTTCATTCGCCTCAGGGATATGGGATTTTTCAGTGGCTCCAGTGGTTCTTTGTGTATAATCTTAAATCTCTTTTCGTGTGTGATTATCATAAGGCTCTTTTCATGTGTGATGATCGTCAGGCTCTGGCATACGGATATGAAGGGGAGATCCTTGGTCGAGTAGACCGGTCTGTAATGGCCGATCTACTACTAGCTGAGCGAGCTCTGCGTGAACATACGCAACGTGAGGAGACTTTACAACATAGAGCTAAAAGCCTTACAAAAGGCTACAGCTATCTCGTCTGACGACACCCAGCTTCAAGAAGAAACAAGCAACTTGAAGAAGCGAAATTCCAATACCCGAAAAATGAGCATGCCCTTTACCGAGCAGAGTCTATGCTTGGATCGAATATCAAAATCTTATATAGTGAGGCGCAATAATATATGGTTTATGCGCGAGGAAATGGTTCAGAGTATGATTGGGAGCAAGAAAGCCAACATCGAGGCCTTCCACTCCTAAGCGGTCGGCATGGCTCTCCCCAAAGATATGACCTGCAGCAATTGTAGCGTAGGAGATGGTCGTTTCGTGGCCTGCGTTTTAGTCCAGATGCCTGCTGGGCGCCGGGATCGACAGCCGATTTGACTCTTGTCCTCGAAGTGGGGACATCAGAATCTGCGCTATGACTGGCGATCGATGGATGGTTATAAACCCCCGGGACGACCGTCAAGACATGCATAACAATCGATCACAGCCGAGCAGACAATCTCGCTGTTGATGTTTACCGGCTCGGCAGAAAAGTTTATGTGGTTTCCTCCAGACACCTGCCCTCCCCGCTGTACGGGTGCAACACGTGGAGATAATAGAGAAGCGGGAGCCCAGATACACGGTTGGAAGACGGATTAAAACACGGATCAAAACAACGCCAACGGAGCCCCTACATTCAAACGTCAGATCGGAGGCTATCGCAACCCTGAGGCTTTGCCTGCTGGATGTCGACGCCGACATTGTGTCGCTGGCGGGCATGATTAGAAACAAGGAAATTCAGTGCAAGGGCATTCTGCAAACTCTGGAGGCCCTTAGGACGGGGAAGGGAACTCGTGATGCGAACGGCGGAGACGGGATGTGATTATAGCTAAATATGTATAAGAACCTTCGGCAGATGTGGTTCGAACATGATTGTCTGTCGAGGTGGACTCGTTCACCCAAGGGATGCCGATTGGACCAGATTAACGTCACCTGCAGACAAATGGAAAGAACTGCTTTTCTAATTTATCTTCTTGTTCTTCTCGTCAACCACCTTCACACTCTTTCACCTTCCAGCAGTAGCACTTCTTGCCTTTTGCTTGCGTTTCAGCTGCGCTATCTTTCACTTCCTCTTCTCGTCAATCATTACAAAATGCGGGTTCCAACCTTGGAAGTGTCCGAGTCATTCACCATCTGTATCATTGGTGGCTGAATGGCCGACTGTATTGAATGGTTTCAGAGTAGCTTTTGTTGGGCACCTCGACTTTGAGATTATTTATGAGTGATTACCCCCGATTTGATCAGAAGTAGGACAATCAACCAATCCACGGTAATTGCGCGGTGGATCCCCCCCCCCGCATTTGAGGAATCCCGAGGTCCCCATTTTCGGCCAAGGACAAAGAGACAGAGCCTGAGGTGCATCGAAATGCTTATCAGACCTGAGGTTTTCTAGGTCGGCAATTGTTAGATGACCTCAGGATCTGCCAGGGTCATCTTATTATGAAAGAAGCATACACCACTAGGCCTCCATTTGCGCCATGTCAACCTCAACCTGGAAATCCAAAGCTCGAGTGCGCACCCGCACCGGCTGCTTCGAATGTCAGCACTAAATACAGACCTTGGAATGGCTTGACTGACTTGAGCTAGGTCGCAAACGCCGCAAGAAATGCGATGAGCAAACACCAGCGTGCCAAAGATGCGTCAACCTTGGCTCACACTGCACTTGGCCCACAACCACCACCCAGCTCATGGACGGCCGAAGGCGTGAGAGACGTCAATGGAAGTCTAAGTGCCCAAGTCTGTCAAATGAGGATAAGGCTCTGTATACACATTTCGCGACAACCGTGATGCCGCAGCTTGTGCGACCGAATTGTCCGTCTATGTACAGTGATCAATCGCACATACTCCGACTAGCCCAGGAATTCTCTCCGCTGATGGCGATTATGATTGCCATTGCAGCTCTTGATCTCGGTAACGATGCACTCGCCATGCAGCACTACCTGCACTCGCTGCGCAGTCTGCAGGGTTGCATAATAGGTGCCCCCGGCACCGGGAATGAAGACGGCTTATTGGCTACGACAATATGTCTCTGTGTGTTTGAAGTAAGCTTCCCCCTTCCTTATTTGTATTCAATTAGATGCGCCAACTAGGGCTAATATGAATTAAGAATGTCCGACCGGATGTGCCCCCAAATATCAGTCTGCATGCGAAGGCTGCTGGCGAGCTCCTTTGCCGACGACGCCCAGAAGAGACCGTCCAATCCCCGTCCCAGCCAGCAGTAGTATTTCAACGCACTTGTGTGGAATCGTTCCTGTATCACAGCACGCTTACGATGCTGTTTACCCCCTCCCTCGATGCAATAGCAGGCAACATACCTCTGTATTTGGCCTTTGCAGCCAATGATGAACAAACTGTTCCGCAACCTATCTTGGATGAACCTTATTATTTCTTTATCATGATTGCAAATGTGACGCGAATCGCTCGGTTGGCCCGCGACCTAAATCAAGAAGAACACCAGATGTGGACACGCCTTCAGAGCGACATCGTGCAATATGAGCGCAAGGACGATAGTGATAACTCCATGAGAATACTCTACTCACGAGCTGTTCGAATCTTGTTACTCAAGAAAGATCCTACCCGGGGAACTACACAAAGAGCATCCGAAATAAAAGCCCTCTTCCACGAAGGACTGATTCTCTTGGAGAAAATAGACATCCAAAACTACTTCCTCAGTTATGCTCTATGGCCTGTGGCTGTGCTTGGTGCTGTTGCCGTGAGCGCATCTGAACAGCACACCATAAACAACAAGATTAGTCCATGGGCTCGCATGAGGCGCGGGCAGGCAGTGCGATTGCAAGAGCAACTGATGAATATTTGGGCCTCACCACGGGAACCCGAAGACATACTACTACTGCAACAATTACAGTTGTTGATGGAACCATCTTGAATTGACATGATATCATTTGCTACCCAAAGGATCTATGACTTGGCCAAAGCTTCCTCCACAATCAGTGCATGCTGCATCAGCACTTCGTCCTTCTGGCGGCGACCAATAAGCTGCACGTGGCAGGGCGCATTTTCGACTTCTTTGGGAAGATCTGAGCTCTGTCAGCATATGTGATTGCGATGTGTCCGGGATAGGTCTTACAAGGAGGATAATAGTTCACGTCGCGCACGAACTCGGCATCAGCGGTCTCCTGGGAAGAGCCATAAGGAATGACGCATGCGGGATACTGGATTTTGAGTCAGTGTAAATATTCACATATGATACAAAGGTAACATACATCGACCACATTGGCAAGGACTGTGTATACTGGGACAGCATAGGTGTCATGAGGAACTGCCGTGGTCTGGTAACCTGGTCCGATAATCACATCCAGGTGGTTGTTGACAAACGCGCGGCGCATTTTAGCCTCGATCTCTGCTTTAGAGACGTTCAAGTCAAAGAATCCTCGCAAAGTCGGCTCTTCTTCTTTTCCTTCAAGGTCGTACGTATATCGAAGAGACGGGATAGGCGGCTCGCCAGAGTTACGGATATGCTGCAACGATGTTTGATCCGGATCCATGCGAAAGAAGCGGAATGCCAGGTCGGCAGCAGCTCCCACGAAATCAATCTGTTTAGATAGGTCCACAATGTGATGACCCGCATTTCTTAACTTCTCAATGGCCATTCCGAGAGTGCGCTGCATGTTGGGGTGCAATGGAGTTTGGGGATCCTCCGGCAAGACTCCGATTGTAAGCTGCGTGGGCGCTCTCGCGGGCTGCGTCCAGGGAAATCCTAGTGCCATGTCGTCCATATCATCTGATGGCGCATTGAAGACCACTCGGAGAAGCATGTCCGCGTCGCGAACAGAGTGGCATAATGGTCCTGCGCATGGAGCAATCCCGGTCATGCCTGGTCTAGCTGGGCTCGTTTGCCCAGCATATGGCACACGACCGCAACTAGGCTTGAAGCCCACGGTACCACAGCACAGTGCCGGGATGCGAATCGAACCAGCAATGTCAGTGCCAATGCCTAGGATGGATCCACGCATCGCTACCAGAGCTCCTTCGCCTCCACTGCTGCCACCGGCCGTGAGGGTACTTCGGTGTGGATTCCGCACACGTCCAAAGACATTGTTGTGCGAGTCTGCTGTCATCATTGTCTGGGGCACGTTGGTCTTCACATACAGCACTGCCCCTGCTTCCAGAAGGATATCTACCAAAACAGAGTTTTGGGCGACGGGCTCGCGATCCAAGAAAGACGCAAACCCGAGAGAAGTCGGTACACCCTTGATGTTGAAGCTTTCCTTCATACTAATTGGGATACCGTGAAGTGGTCCAACAGGTTTTCCAGTAGTCTTGATATGTGCGTCCAGCTCTTCCGCTCTTACAAGAGCCTCCGAGAACATAGTCTCCGTCAAGCATGAAGTCAACTGCTGCGCAATGGCAGCACGCTTGCAGAAGGCAGTCGTCACATCAACGGCGCTGAGCTCTTGGGTGGCGAGCTTGTCTCGTAGCGACGTTGCATCAGGAAGCTCAGTAATGGCGAGCTCTTCTTTACTAAGGATGCCGCACTTCGAGGGAACATCGAGCATCTCCAGCTCGTTGTTATCGACTTGCTGGAGGATCTCTGTCGTGAGTCGCCATTTAATGGGAATTTTGGCGTCTGCCTCGGCCTGTTTGGCAGCACACTTGTCTTGCCAAGTAAGATTGGTCATATTGTTCAGCCTTCGAAGACGACTTGGGGTAAATGGGCTGAGAGCGATATGAAGAGCTGAAAGTGATAAATAGGGAAGCGGGGGAAGAAGGAATCTGATATTTAACTCGAGATTCTGGACGTTCATGGTCATATTTATACCTCATACTCCCGAGGTCCGGTGCGGAGAGCGAGAGATAGACCAATCAAATACTTTTGCGCCGACAAGTAGCTTTGAGGACTCATCCGGCTCACGGCAGATGAACTGGGCTGCGGCTGTACTTTCCTTTATTGAATTTGCCTAAGAGATCACTAATCACCATGCGCAGCTAGCCATTTAAATCTAAGCACAAGAATCGACCATGGCCATCCAAAGTCGCAGCCCAAACGGCCATCGACCAATATATCGATAGATTGGCAGAGCCTTCAGGCATGTTAAATCAGAATGCAAATCCTATGCACAAGTGACTTATTTCTCACAGTAATCACAGATTCATGAAACTCCTGAACTGGCGTACAAGGACCACGTTCCTAACCTGCTTGGACAATCCTGTCGCACCGTCCTTGTGTTGCCGGACCTTCCAACTGAGTTCTCAGCTCTCGGATCAGGGGGTGACGTTTCGAGTTATCGAGGCCCAGAAAATGGGCTTGTAGTTTTTCTTGGCGCAGGTCGTCCAATCGTCAGTGTCGCGCACTGCAAAGCAGAGGGCGTGCCGTTGCTAGCGCCTGGTGCAGTACAACGTTGCGCACCGGTGAGTTTGTGCATAAGTTGATAGCCACAGGCTCGGTCCTTGCCCAGCACAAGGCAGTAGCCGTGCTGCGCAGCTCGACGTTGTGCTTTACATGCCCCCAGCGCCATATATTTCCGGCGATGTGACCTGGGAACACCGGATCAGGTGTATACGTGGTTAGGGTTGGACTCAAGCTGCGCGTGATGGTGACGAGCCCGGCGCGTAAGAATGGCGGCGCACATTCAGGAAACGCGGGCGTAGAAGCCATCCAGCATGGTTTATACCGCCAGTGAAGAGATATGTGTCTTTCCAGGAAACCAAAAACTGGACATTATTCATGGTGACAACAATCGTGAGAGGTCCGTAGGATCATACACTTCCTAGAGCCGTTGGTCACGCAGAGGGAGCCATTGCTACGAAGCCACCTTCCCTGGTATGCTCTAATGTCTGAGGGGCGGATTGAGTGGAATCCGAATACCGTCGAGGCAGTGTTGATGCAAGTGCTTGGAGTGGTGTATCATATGGAGTGTACCAACTGCCACTGGGATGGCAGACCGAACGACCAATGTGTTACCAACCATCCTCTCCCCGTTCTGCGTCGTCAGAGAGCACCTACCAACGCCCTTCACAACCATCCCAATGACGACTCTTTTAGCATCGACCGTCCATCGCGGTTCTCCTTAAGTGCACCCGCTCATAGTGCTCTTTCCATCACTCATGGACCCTTGAGTCAGACACTACACGGCCTGGTGGAGGAGCATATGCGCCTTATCGGGCTGAGCCGAAGACTCACCGCTCGCCTCAATCGGCTTGACACGCTGCTTGCCGGTAGCAGTACCACCGGGCCTACGGAGAGCACGCGCGACTCAGCCCATGCATGTCATTTGGCGAGATCTGTACCGCGCAAGTACACGGCACCACCAGCATCTGCAGGATTATCTTCACTAAATTTCTTGGTTACACGTGCCGGGCTTATTCCGTTAGCTTCACAGAACTATTACTGCCCCTTGATTGAAATGAATTTATTATTTGCGTCAGCACCCACAGGGCTTGGAAATGGGGTAGCTTAGGAACGGAACACGAACGAAACATTCTGGCCCCCAGAAATATGGGGTTCTAAATTTCGATCTTCACCTTGTCTATTCAGTGCCTGTTTAGTGTCTTTGAAGGTCTATTAGCACATCAGCTTCCCCTCCGAATTCTACTCTGCCCGTGGACAACATCATGACTTATACCAGCCTACCCGGGCTCCCCTTCGAGTTATGGCAATCCATCGCATTACATCTATCTAATGCTAACATAAAATCATACCGCCTGGCATGTAGCCAATTCAACAGTGCTGCGCTTCTCCGCATCGACCGGGTTTTCTTATCTGCCAACCCACTCAACATAGAAGTCTTTGGCGGCATTGCATCCCACGACAAATTTTGCCACGGAGTAACCGAGATCATCTGGGACGAGGCGCGCTTGCCGACAGGCTCACAGAGAACATGCGGCATCGATGAGGGACATGAATTGCTCTCAAACGAGGATGAGCCCGGCAATACAAGAGAGTGGGCCAGAAATTATGGCTCTATGTTCCAGGAGGAGATCGTTGAGCGACATCAGCCAGAGGAGGAAGATTGGTGTCCCAGGTGGTTTAAGCAGGCCTGCAATGAAAACATCGACCATCTTAGGCGGCGGAAGAGTTCGGACGTGGACTGGCCCGACCATGTTGCGCGTGGAGAACAGCTTTTGGCTCAGCCTCCGCCGAGGGAGTGCTGATAATAGTGATCTGCGCGCATTTTCATACGGCGTCAAGCAGTTTCCTAGTCTAAAGCGAGTCACTATCACACGCGCGGCCCAGGTCATATCTTCGCCCCGCTGTACCCGACCCCCATGATCCGCGCTTTCCCTAAGGGATTCATTTATTCCATTCGACGGGGATGGCTCTTTCCGACAACTACGTGTGAGCCTGCGACTGTATGCGCGGAACGAATACCCTGAGCTTAGAGAACGGTACCGCGGGTTCCGCACTGCGATGCGCCTCCTCGCCAACGAACCAAATTCTGTTTCCGAGCTGGTTATGACTTCGAATCATCTCCCGACTGGGATAAACTGTACAATCTTTGACGAGCCCTGCAAAGAATACGATAATTTTGTTGTTGTGCTGAAAACCCCGGGCTTCCGCCGTCTAGACATTGCCATGCTCATTGGCGGAGGAGAGGAAGACCTCGATCGATGCTAGCGATCCTTCCTGAATGGACGACTGCGCCGCGCGCTCGGCGAAGCACAAGACATGGAGGTTTTCAGGCTGCATACGACAGTCATTAGCAATCCCTACGACGATGAGGACGCCTACGACACACGGGGACCACTAAACCTCCTGATCCCATTACAGAGCATCGTGCCTGTTGAAAAATGGCCGAAGCTGCGCCACTTCGAACTTTTGCGCTTCCTAGTCTCACAGTCTGATATCATCTCCTTCCTCACCGCACTACCGAAATCCATTTTCTCTGTTGAGCTGAGCATGCTTAAGTTTCTCCTAGACGGTGGAACCTGGCACGGTCTGCTGGGGATACGCGCAAAGCGATACGCGAGAACACGCTGTGGGGGGACCGGGATGTTGATTCAAGGCCGAAAGTTACGATTGGATTGCCGCTTGTAAATCGTGAGATTGGACGGGGCCAGTGGATTGACAAGGAGATGCATGATTTCATCTACGGCGAAGGGAAAACCCCCTTCAGTCATCATAGGCCTTATAATATTCCGTTGGAGTTGGTATCCTAAAGCATGCATTTGAACCCGATTTTGAACGCCCAAATGTGAATCATTTCGATTTGATTAAGATGGGCATTGCCAAGGGGCACCATGAGTTATGATTCCAGTACTGCACGGCAATACTAACCTCTAATAAGCGGTTCGCTAAGTTAGCCCTCGACCTTCCGTATCTGGCCGTGATACGATTCATCCGAATAGACGGATTAAGGCACGAATATGGACTAAACAATTCGTCTTAAGGTTTATAGTGCTGGACAATGAGCGCAACCCCCCGCAACAATGTTATCTATCCCTAGTATCTTCCCGCCTTCAATGCCTTGGCACTGTAACCTCAGCCGTGATATTATCGAGTCCCGTCGGGGTTCCGCCTGCATGACAGTAGCCGGCCCTATGAGATTGCTTCCTCCTCTGCCAAGTGCAGCAAGCCAGCCTCTTGGCTTACCCCTCGGGCCCCTGCCAATCACGCATCATTGCACTTTATCGTCGCGTGATGATCATAACAATATGAAGAATAGGTATAAAAACACCGTTCCTACCCAAGAATGGTTATCAATTCGCGCATTACTTAACGATGAAGTGGTTCTTGTTGATAACTCACCTGTCTGTGGCCTTTGCTGAAGCTAGTCGGAGGAAGCCCCTTGTTTCACCGGTATGTATGCATGGTGTATCTCCGCGATCGTTACGAAGTATTCTGATTTATTAGGATGAATTCCCCTCTACAATTCGACTGAAGGACCTCCTGAAGGGGACCCAACAGCTTGAAGATTTCGCTTATGCGTATCCCGAGCGTAATCGTGTTTTTGGCAGTGCAGCACACAATGATACTGTTGACTACATCTATCGCGAGTTGAAGAAGACCGGCTATTATCATGTGTGGAAACAGCCACAGGTGCACACATGGACTACTGCAAAGACCTCGCTGACGTTCGATGACAACTCCATCGAAGCGACTGCCATGACATACAGTCCCAGCGCTGATGTTACTGCGGAGCTGGCAGTAGTCTCGAACCTCGGATGCAGTGCATCGGACTACCCGAGCGACGTGGCTGGTGGAATTGCCCTGGTCCAGCGTGGAGAATGTACTTTCGGAGAAAAGTCTGTTCTGGCTGCTGCGGCCAAGGCAGCTGCGGTAATTGTCTATAACAACCAAGCAGGGCCTGTTAGTGGAACGCTGGGTGGAGTAACGAGTGACCTCGGCCCCTATGCAGCCATTGCGGGAATCTCTGATGTCGATGGCAAGACCCTACTCGATGCGGCAGCAAAGGGTGCCGTGACCGTGTCTCTTTCGTTAGACAGCAGAATCGAGAATCGCACTACATTCAACGTGATTGCAGAGACAAAAGGCGGCGATCACAATAACGTCGTCTCACTGGGAGGTCACACTGACTCAGTCGATGCCGGCCCCGGTATCAACGATGATGGCTCTGGTGTCATCAGCAACCTCGTGGTAGCAAAAGCGTTGACGCGATTCTCTGTCAAGAATGCCGTGAGATTCTTCTTCTGGACGGCGGAGGAGTTCGGCCTGTTGGGTAGCGAGTACTACACCTCGCACCTGGACGCTGCTGAACTAGCGAAGATCAGGCTTTACCTCAACTTCGATATGATTGCCTCGCCCAACTATGCACTCATGATCTATGATGGCGACGGAGATGCCTTCAACCAGACTGGACCAGCGGGTTCTGCCCAGATCGAGGCTTTGTTTGAAGACTATTACAAATCCAAGAAACTGCCGTATATTCCAACCGCATTCGATGGCCGATCCGACTACGATGGTTTCATCTCTCGTGGGATTCCCGCCGGTGGGGTTTTCACTGGTGCTGAAGGCGCTAAGACCGAAGAAGAGGCGAAACTGTTCGGAGGCGAAGCAGGTGTAGCCTACGACGCGAATTATCATGCTGCCGGAGATGACTTCAAGAATCTCAACCACGAGGCATTCCTGATCAATTCGAAGGCTACGGCTTTCGCTGTTGCAAAATACGCTAATAGCCTTGATTCGATCCCCCGACGGAGTTCAACACCCGCCAAGCGAGTGGTCAAGAAAAGAGCCCCTCGATCGCACGCGCACACTAAGCAGACCGGATGTTTCCATTCTCTGGTCGAAATTTGATAGGTGGACACACCTATTACTACCTATATAGGTAGTCACCATTATTGATATAAGCAAGTATCCAATTCAATCTATCTCTGACTACGATTGTTGTCAATAGTGAGTATATCACATATTCTGTTAAATATGGGCTTTGGGCTTTTAGTAGCAACAGTAGAGATACGTAGTAGCACACACAGAGTACTTACTTTGAGAATGTATTTGTATAGTGTCGAAGGTATATGGTTCTATAGAAAGTTCTAGCGTGGGAGGCGGGACATGCTCATGTAGTATGAACACAACGGCTTTCCAAGGTTATTCCTCAGATTTCTTTAGTTTTTTGGGGAGTCAACGTTCCTCTTATGCAAATGTAAAGTGTCCATTGTTTCAAATCATGATCCCAACTCTCATCATAATGTTCTCATGTCTCTCCAGAACCTTCTTCCACTGTTCCAAATGGCTATGTATCTAGAAAAACCTAACTGTCCGATAGTATTCTAAGAACCTACTTGCGCAGGCCTCCGATCAGATCCAGAATCGCCCGTGTCACCTCCTCCGGGCTTTCCTGGGGCGTCCAATGCCCAACCCCATCCACAAGCCGAAAGATACGCAGGTCAGCGCACGAAATCCCGTTCTTCATCTTCTCGATAGCACCAGGCTCCTGATAGTTACCCCAGTCCAGCTTGCCCGAGACAAAGGCACAAGGCGGCTCGAGCTTCTTCCCAGCGAATACATCAAAGTCCTTTGTGTACCGGCCACCAGCAGCGGTGCGAACACGATACCAATTCAATCCACCCTGGAAGCCCGTGCGACCATACTCACCCGCATAAACAGCGAGCTCCTCATCCGGCAGCCATGAGTGCGAGGCCAGACCGTCGGACGGCTCATGCGCCATATCGCGCGCCACCGTTGCAGGCATCGACTCATTCAACGGCATAATATAATAACCAGGTAACTCAATCAGGTCGGCTGCAGACCACTTCGCCAGCGGATGGGGCCGATTCCCCGGCCAGGAACCACTCTTCAGATGAAAGTATCCCCGTAGAAAGCGATGCATCTCGTCAGGCCCCAGATCCGACATTTCAGGCCCAGCCTGCTTAGTCGAATAATACCACTTATAATGCTTACGCCCGAGCTCCGCAAGCGCGTCATGAATCCCCGCCGCAGCGGCCGACCCCTCGGCACCACCTGCCCCACCTGCCGCCGCCGTACCAGACCCAGCCGCCGCAGCATCTCTATTCGCTGTATCAAACGGTAAATCCGGGGCCCCATTAAACGGATGGCTCATGAGCGTAACGCTCTGAAAGAAATCCGGTCGCATTAGGGCGCACATGGCTGCCGATACAGCGCCGCAGTCGTGGCCAGCGACACAGCGCACCGAGCGGTAGCCTAGCGCGTGCACGAGAAGCACAATATCCCGCACCAGGCTGGACAGCGAGAATGTTGTCAGGTCGACCTCCTCATAGCTGCGCGTGTCCCAGCCTGTGGTGCGGCCAAAGCCGCGCTGGTCTGGGGCTACGGCGTAGAAGCCTGCTGCTGCTAGTTTTGGGAGCACTCGGCGCCATGAGTAGGCTATTTCTGGGAAGCCGTGGAGGAGAATTATTAGCGGCTTATTGTTTTCTGGTGTCTGGCCGGCTTCCAGGATGTGGATATTTATATCATTGGTTTGGATGTTGCGGCTAGTTATGCCTTCGGAGAGGGGTAGAGGTAGAAGGGCCATTGTTGGGATTGGGATTCGAATCTTGATGGGATATATATATGTGGGAAAGGTATGAATTGAATTGAATAGGAAGTCTATGTACCTAATAGCATAATATATCATGCAAGAAGGTTATACCCACAGAATAATAAGCAATGCATAAAAGTCAAAAGGGCCAAGGCGGTAAATTCTGTACCTGACCCATCAAAGTCATGACGC